AAACCAAAACAAACCCAAAAGGGGATTTCTTACGATTTATATGCGGATCGGAGGATAGAGAGGACATGTCGGCAAAACCAAACTCAGACCCAAGAGGGAAAAAAAAAGCCACAGGTATCCCGATACAAGAAAGTGAGGGAAAAGGGAAAAAAAAGAAACGTAATTGCAAGAAGCAGGTTTATCGTCTTTCAATCCAAAGCACAAAAGCACCAATGCACCGGGTAAGATAGATGCCTCCACCTTCATACGAGACAGCAGAGAACATAAGTAAAAAAATAAGATAAAGACAGCGAATGAGCAAGGAGCGTGAAAAAGGCATTCCTAGGTAGTCATGATAGGCATTCTCGATATGCAGTACACATGTTCCAGTTCAGGTCCGGACCGGATTCAGGGCTCAGTAAGCCGAGGTGGATCTCAACGCACTCGTCCGTGTGAACCCATTTGATGATAGCCCACTCTGTTGAATAGGCGCTGTTGGGCGTGACCGATTGTTTTCTCGGGACCAGCTGGGATAGGTTAGCCTTATTTGAGGGTAAAAGGTGAGAGTGATAGTTAGCTTACATCCTTACTGACTCGTCATCACCTGCTGAGGCGAACATTCCCGGGTCTCTTGGGTTCCATGATATTGAGTTCACGCAGCCCTTCTCGTGTCCTTCCAATGTTTCAACGAGGTTGCCGTTCTCTTTGTGCCAGATGTAGACTTTCGAGTCTAGGGAGGGTTAGTAGCATGATATTTCCGGGTTTGAAATACTCACCTTCGCTTCCGCTCACGATAAAGTTCTCAGCGGCTCCACCGAATGTGCTGCGAATCACAAACTCGCCCTGCTTCTGGCCTCGGAATTGACGTACCAAAGCGGTAGTCTCCATATTGACGAGTTGAATCTCCCCCTCGGCCAAATTGATAAGCACATGTAGTGAATCCTGGCTGATAGCAACCGAGGTCGGCTTGCTTGGTAGCGGAAGGGAGTATTCTTCCTCGTAAGTCATGAAGTTGTACACGTGAATCTTAGCCTCCGTGTCGGCGGCAACAAGGCGTCGCCCGTCTGCACTGATGGCACAGTCCTGCACGCGGAATCCGCCTTTCCATGAATGCAAGGGTTGGCCCCGCATGCTCCAGTGTCGAAGTTGAGATTCAGCGTCGAGAGAGGCGGTCACAAAAGATTCCCCATCTGCAGCCCAGGCGGCCGCCGTGACTGGTTGGCGGTGGTGATTGATAGTAAGTAGACAAACGCCCGTCTAAAACATCCAGTTAGTATGTCCTCGGAAACTTCATATTCAATTTCAAAGAGAAATCTTACCTCGACGCTCCACACTCGAGCCTTCTTGTCTTGCGAGCATGTAATCAACTTGGAGTCATCTGGGCTCCAACTGGCAAAAGCAACACCCTCCTCGTGATCAGTGAGTCGTTTCAAAAGTGAAAAATCGCTTGTATCATAGATAAGCACGTGGTGGTCCTTGCCGGCAGTGACCAACTTGGTGCCATCGTGAGAGAACTCGCAATACCAAACTTCATCCGAGTGATGACTCAAGCGCGCGCTAACTTCCAAAGGGAAGTCGTTTCGGTCGCACATGTGGTCGGAGTAGAGCGATGGGGGCTCGGCGGTATTATGATATAGACAGTTGTTGATTTGGTTGTGCTTGACGTGATCTAGTAAGTGTGCAAGACGATGCTGGGGGATCATGACGGAGGGAGAGATGGATTCTGCGGCTGTTAGCAAATCTGACAGGCCCTGGTAAGTAAAGCTGTGCTTACTGGACAGCTCGCCGAGTAGTCGCTCTCGTGATGAGCTGACAGGCCCATCCCAACCCGCTTGTTCGTGTAGGATTTCGGTCGGGCACATAAGAAGACTGAAAGGCGAGTCAGTCAACCGGCAAGCAATTTTATCAGCAACAGATATGCATACCTTGAAAGAGCATGAAGGCGCTCTACATCAAAATTCAACGGTGTCAGCTCTTGCCGAAGGACCCCAAGTGCTGATGCCAGATCGCGGGCCTCGAGTAGCTCCAGGAACTTCTGCTGCCGTAGATAGAACAGCATCTCGTTCCTGTCGGCATCCTCCGCTAACACCAGTGTCTCCTCCGGTACAGACTTCTGGTCTTCCTGTTGTAACCCAATATTCCGAAATGAGTGAAGTAGGATTCTCTCTGCCTCCGACCATCTTCCACCTAATACCGCATTTCGAAAAGTTGCGACCCCCGACGTTTCCAGCTCATAACCACTCTCGGATATTAACTTCGACGCCGACTCTGTATAGCCCAACTCATACAGACTTTGTATCAGGATCCGTGACACCTCTTCCCGGTTATGTCCGTAGTAGGTAGAGCTCGCCTTTCTTGAACCGTTGGTATGGGAGCTTCCGTTAGAGCTCGACCCGTTCAGACCAACTTTCCTCGGCGTCGACGGGAAGGACCCATTCGAAGCCTCAGAGAAGCCGTTCTCTGCTTTTATGCCATCGGGACGCATGGTTGCCAGGCGCCTGCGCTTGGGGGAGGGTGAACGGCCGTCCGGTCGACCGGAGAGGGTAGCGGTCTCGCGTGTAGGAAGTGTGACCCCCGCCGTTGCGGAACCAAGGGGACTACTTGAACGACGGCGGCGGGATGGACGAGTCGATGTATGTGACGCTGTCGGGATCTGGGAGGCGGGAGTGTCTACCGAGGGCAGAGGATCGGGGTCGTCGGAGGCGATATAGGGGTGATAAGGTGAGGAGTGAGCCAGCTCGATAGCCTAGATCTGCCCAATCCCCCGGCTCAGAGAACCAGGTGAGCAGATCTGAAGTGATAGTCCGATAAATAACCGGAGCTGTTGGAGTCACAAGGTAGAGGGAGAAAATCACGAGGTTGACTCCGCGAGGTCGGGCGGAGATGCTTATCGAGAGGTGGAGCACGACGATGAATCACGAGTGTGAGCGCAATGCAAGCTTGAAGGAATAAGGGAATTTGCTGTTTTCGAAAATCGCGAGGAAGGAGGATTCGGGCACACAGCTCTATCACTTTCGAGCTCCACGTATCTCACCTGATCCACTGCGAACTCTCTGAGCCTCTAATTTTGTGACGGGCGGGTTAGCCGCCAGATACAGTCTATCTTTCTCTAGCGTACGTATTCACTATATTTTTATGTTGATTTAGACTATATAGCAACGTAATAACTAGTTGGTCAAGTTGGCTTAAGTTAGCTCACGTCTGAAGGTCTGGGGTTACCGTGCACACGATCTATAAGCTCCACAAAGCACAGAGCACGATCTACACCCTAAAGTAGAGCACCCTAGCCCGTATGCATCTCAAGTAGAAGTTGAAGCTGGACTTGTTCAGCTTGTTCAACTTGTCGGGAGCCACCACCGATTTACGTTTCACTGACGCCATGATGATGCTGTAGCCCCAAACCGTATATAATATGTGACCACCCGGGCAGAGGCAATCTCACCTTGGCATCTTACCATCTTACCATCTTACTGTTACTCTACCCAAACTAAACCAATCCAACATACATTCAACTCAACATGGGCTGTGACTGCGGATCAAGCTGCACTTGCACAGGCGGCGCCCAAAGCTGCTCTTGTGGCGATACATGCACCTGCAAGGGATGTGGAGTATGTGACCCCAATCTGGAACGATAAGATTTCGCTAACCTCCATCTTAGAAGTAAAGCCCAACCTTGTTTCACTCGTTTATGTGGACTATCAAAAATGAAGGTATAGGAGACAGATCGTTGTCTAGCTTGGCGTAGACGTCATACATATCCGCTAGGATAAGCGTGATCAAAACATAACCGCAATACAACGATAATCTCCGATTTATGGATTTCCTCATTAAATTCATAGCCATCGCCTCTCTTTCTTTAGACCCCGCTAATCCACACACTCACACCATAAGATAGGGGTAGGTGGACTAGGTACTAGCATATGTAGTATTGAGATAAGAGCATAGCATCTGCACGATAGCGATAGTTATCCCTCTCCAAGTATTTACGTGGACGTCGCTCCAAGCTTATTACCCTACAATCCTAGTAGATTTTGCCAAGAAGTATGATCGGTGTAAGGGACTAGACTTATTGTACATCAAATAGCGACATTTGCGAATCTGACTCGAACTGAGCCCCTGCTTAACTCATTGTGTAAATGAATATGCAATGCCGGATCAAATCCCGTGTAGATCTTCAAGCTAGAGGCTACTAGGGCCTACCGCCGTAATCATATCACAGTTTCGGCCCGAATAGATCGGAGTCTAGGTTAGTGACAAACCCACAGACAAGGAACTAGGCATGAGCGCGATCGATCTGCTCAAAAAGTGTCTATTCTAACAAGGCTCCTCTTCTCACAAGCCGTGAGACGAAATATACAAACCTGCTCGAGAGGTATATATCACCGATTATATCCACAAAGGCGTTAGATACGACCGTTAGCAAGGCCTAAAAGGATTATAATTGTCCTGCTACCTCTTGAACCGGACATTCAGGATGAATAAACTGATTTATTACCGTCCTAAGATACAGCTGCTTGCTTAGAAACCTAGATGTAGAACAACTAGTGCTGGCAGGAATTGTGACCGAGTACAACCGTTCCTATATACCTCGTGCCTTCTGCCCGCTGATATAGACCAAGTTATTATATATATTCGCAGCGTGAATGCAACTATTCAAGCCCAAGTTACTTCGGGCCTTCGGGGGAGTCCACCACCGAGCACTCCACGCGGTGGCAATCCCCGTGGGGCATGCCCCAACAGCTTCAGCTTCAGACATGCCAATGCAAGTGATATACTATACAGCAATCAGATTAAATAGTAGCAAGATGTTATAGCCGCTATAATTCCTACCTTACTGACCATAAGTTATCAACGAATAAATCATATAAATAACAACAGCAGCAAAACACGCCGTGGGGGTGGCCCTCGGGTAGTCGGTCGGAGCAACCCCGAGTGTCCCTCTCCAAAACGCAGTCTTACGGGAAACATTCCTTCTGTAACTCTTCAATCTCAGAAAAGACATCATCTTCTCTACCTCCATCATGTCTGCTGTCACACTTCGCTCCGCGCTGCAAAGCCAGCCCGTGTCCTATGGCTTCTGGTTGACGTATGTTGGAACCCCGTTGGAACCCCGCGCTTAGAGGGGCAGCTTGACGAAGCTTCAATTCAGTAAAAGAGATATTTGGAAGGGATTGTCTCGATAGGAGCACAAACATACATCGCAAGAACATCTAGCTAATAAAACCCCTCTATAGTCTCCCCAGCGCCGCCGTCGCAAAGACCATCCTCCGCCGCAGCCCCGAGTACTCGGAAGGCGGATTCAGCTGGGTCCTCATTGATGCCGAGCATGGCCTGATCAACGATAGCCACTACTACGAGGTATACACCACACTAATCCACCACCTCAAATCCCCATGAACCCCATTGAAAACCCCACTAACACCTGATCATAGCTCACAAACGCCATCGGCCATGAAGGCGCTAGCCCAATCATCCGCGTCCCCTGGCCCGAAGAATGGATGATCAAGCGCGCTCTCGACGCAGGCGCTCACGGAATCATGACTCCCATGTGCCACACCGCAGAGGATGCCGCCAAGGTTGTTAGTTACTGCAAGTACCCGCCTGTCGGAGTGCGCGGCTATGGACCTATGTTTGCGCCGCATTCTTTCCCTGGTGTGAAGCCGGCTGAGTATGATGAGAAGACTCATGGGGAGGTTTTGGTTGTTGTACAGATTGAGTCGAGGCCTGGTGTTGAGAATGTGGAGAAGATTGCTAATGTTGAGGGGCTTGATGTGTTGTTTATTGGTGAGTTTGGTATTGGGACACTGGGTTTTGGGGATGTTTGCTGACAATTCCCTTTTATTGTAGGACCCTTTGATCTTGCTAAGCAGATGCGTGTTACTCGTGGCGGTGAGGAGCATGAGGCTGCTATTCTGCGTGTTTTGAAGGCTGCCAAGTCTGCCGGCAAGAAGGCTGCTATCTTCTGTTCTGATGGTGATGATGCTCTTAGACGCTCGCAGCAGGGCTTTGATATGGTTTCTATCATTACTGATGTTGGTGTCTTTGGTGATGGGATGCTGCGCGAATTAGAAAAGGCCAAGGGTACTACTAAGGCTGAGGGAAAGCGTGATGGATACTGATTAACGAGCCTCAGATCCATATGTATATAGAAGCAAGGTATAAATTCAATCAAGTTATCAGTATACAAATTCGTATTTTCTTCCGTTGTGATTGTATCACTTCTTCTCCATCTTTACTCTGTAGGCAGCCGGTATCATAGCCTTAACCTTTCCATCTTTCTCAACATCAAGGCAAACAGATCAGTGGCAAAACCACCCAAAAGAAATAAATCAAGGATCAGCCAGTTGCCGACATCATAGATTGACGAGAACAGACTGGAAGAGGCACCAATTCCCACGTTCGGCTTGGCATCATTAGTAGTGTAGGATCGGAATGCAATTTTGCCAGTAGCATCCTCAGGCAAAATGGTCGGCACCAGCCTTGTATGTTCACCACTGAAAAGGCGTTCAATCTGAGACGTAATGTCGGTTCCATCGCTGATCCACGAGGACATCTTCAGTCCAGGGTCTTTGCCTCGTGGGATATTCTCGATTCATCCGAATGCACCGCTCTGCTTTGGCCGTTCATGGTACATGTCAGACCCGTCAGCAGGAGTGGCGCGGTGTGGTTCGATTTCGCTTCGTGGAACCATTGCTGTAGGAGTTGACCGATGATCTGGAGGCGGTGTTTGTTGTCAATGTTGATCTTTGAGCCTGAGACTATTGTAATGGACAAGTTCTTGGGCAATACGAGCCTCTGTTTGGCTGACATCGCGTTGCAGCAGGGATGCTTAACCCGATTAGGTAGCATACGGCGCTCTTGGCATTTCTGCCGCACGATCGATGTATAGGGCCAATAGATATTCACCTGGAAAATATTCGCATTATTCAAGCATATACGTAGACAAAATTGATGGCTGTGGCATGCTCACATTAGAACACTTTACTCAACACTAAACTATACTCAAACCACCAAGAAAAACTGTTGCGCAGGAATCATTCTCGTTGCAAACCCAAATCCCAAGGCCAGAGTGACTACTGCAGTGAAGGCAGCTAGAAGTCCCAGACGTGCCAAGCTCTCAATACCAGGTCGCTCAAACTTAGTGCTCCTCCGCTCTCCAAGTCGAGTTGTGCGAGTTAATGTTGGAACATATTTGAACTCGAAGCGTGACTCCTCGCCAAGACCCATTTTCTCGTCGAGAATGAGCCTGTAGAAATACTTTCGGCGGAGCTGGAGAGTCGACATGTTAGCAGAATGTATGAATAATTGAAAGTAAACGTGCATATGGCTTCGTACCGAAATCATAATCTTGTCCAGAAAAGAGATTCTCGGGATGATGTATGAAATACCCATGACCCAGAAACAATAACCCCATATCAACATCCGATAATAAAGGTTAGGCCGTGGAATCTCCAGCTCATCAGAAAGCTGATCGCCATTAAGCAGTCGAGCCATGGCTTCCATGAACTCCTTGGACGCATAAGCCGGTGCTGTATTTTCTAGACCAATGATAATGTTCTTTGCTAGAATCTTTCCAACCTCAGTAGGATCAATTTCCGTAATGAGAAGAGATTCCATCATAGCCCGACCTTTGGCTATATCCTCAAATGGATGTGTCGGAGTGCCCATATAATAGGCAACCAGCCTCCACAGTGCGATGTAATCCTCGATCTCCTGCTGGCTGAGGTAAATACCCTGCCTCGGCAGTCCGAGCCAAACAACTGCGCTGCAGAATGTGTTGATTGTGCCGATACAGTCCAAGTCGTTGACTGGTGTACCGTATTTGTCGACATCGTAGTATTCGGGTTTCTGGTCAACCAGGCTGAGAATCTTCATCCGGACAGATGAGTGGAGTAGTCGGACTCGAACAGATGAGATATGGCCTTCGCCACCTGGCTTTATGCCTTCTGCTGAGCTGTTGACTTGTAGTATATGCTGGAGGGTCTCAAGTAATCTCCGCCGTACTACTTTCGCTCCGAAGCCGCCTGTGCGCGCGAGGGTTTCGACAACCCGGACTGCTCCCCTATTTAGAAGTCAGTGGATGGCCAGGGTAGCTGTGTGCTCAGGGTATTGTCATACATTCCACCGAGTAAACTTTCAAAATTGAGCTGTAGGTAGATGAGCATTATACACCAAGTCGCATTTGAATTATGTATACCACTTACAACATTCAGAATCGGAAGTCCGTATCGAAAGAACACATCCTGACCCCGTTGGATCTGAGCCCAGTCCACCCACTCCGGGACTGTATTGATCTGTGTCCACAACTCTTGGAGTTTAGGATCTTCCTCCGCATGGTCCCTTAATAGACCATATAGATCCTTCTTGTAGGTCTTCTTGTCCGAGTCATCATTTGTCGGGATCCTATTCAAGAGCTCGACACACTCATCAGCAAGGACATCGCAGGTATAAGCCATTGGCCGGAGGTCATCAGCAGATGAGTGGAGGTCAGTCCAGTGGAAGGAATAGCCCCAGTAGTGACACTCGGTGCTATTCCCGTTCTTAGGGCTCTTTAGTGCCATTTATGTGGTTAAGTTGAAGATATAGAAATCAAAGAAGTCCTATTATTATTACAGGTATATATATGTGTCTATACGATACTATATAAGGGTCAAACACGACAGGTGACCCTTTACCGTGGTCCACGGTTCGAGAAAGAGGGGGCCGTCGATCGCCATGTGAAGCGAACTTGAGCCACTCAGACCCCGGACGTTGTGCTAGCGCCCTTCGCTTATAGTGTTCACATGTGTTATGTGTTACATATTTGCAGTCCGGAGAATAGGGTAATTCCACACTGGTCCAACGGTCTTGCATGGCGCTTCAGAGCCCCTTTGTTCTGATCTCTGTAACACAAAGCATTATTCTCCGTATGAAACTGAACAAAGGCCTTCCAGGATTGGTATATGGACTGTATTCTTTGTCTGGCAACTATATAATACATGGTGCACTTGACTGTCCTGGGAAACAAACACATCACACAGTACTTTCAAATAGTTTATTCGTGCAAGATATCATGGAGAGGAATTTTTCGATTGAATGTGAATTCAATGGGATGGAGATCCCCTCGTTTCATATCAAAGAAGTGGAACTTGATGCTTGTTACATGGCCCTAAACAACCTCCGAAATCTATTGTTCCAAGAGCCCATGCTCGAACTCCTTCAATACCAGATCGAGGAGGGCACTAGCTATTTTGAATCGTTGATAGCGGAGTCCAACGACGAATATACAGAAAGCATGATTCAATTAACTGTATATGGATTGTCAGCTAGTGAGTTCCGATCCATGAGCGGTCGCTGGTACGAATCCCAGCCTCTCGACTGGATGGCACTCAGGTATGTGTTCCCAACACACCCAGGCAACTATTCAGTCATGCGTGAGACAGATGAGGACTCGGAGTATGGGCACCTCGGCAAGGTGCAAATGATAGGGAGGCATATCGCAAAGATTTGGTTTGCTGATCCCACAAGTAGCTTAGTCGCGATCCCGGAGTGGCTGGCGGAGCTGCGAGATTTCGAGTATAAAATGGTGGAGTACTCAACTGTCAAGCTTGACAGTGGGAATGTTTTCTTCTATCTCATGAATGAGTTCAAGGAAACCAAAACTGGTTGTGAGATCAAGTTGCGGGCATTCTTGCCCTCTGCTGCGCCGGCATCGTTGATCGGTCAACATACACAGCATCGAGCTATTGAATTCCGAAACCTGCTGTATATGGTTCATGCGGTTGTTGAGGCCGAAAAGGATTCCTATTGAGGTGTGTTGCGCGTCATCTTGAGCGCCAAGAAGCTTGGAAAGCTGGAGTTAACTGGTGGGAAGTCATATTGGATAACTTGTTAGATTGAGTAGTGGATGTTAGTATACAGTAGAACACTTGTTCTAAGTTATTGAACAATAAAAGAATGTATGGCAAATAAAGAATTGTGGACTGCTTCATGGATGGGCTAGGTGTGCAGCTATTTGCACACACAGTGCCCGGGTGCATAGTAGCTGCAAAGCCTAATAGAATAATTTGGCATATAAAACAAACCATTTGGCCATCAAAGAAGAATCAAGAATTATTGAAGTCGAAGTGTAGGAGCTCTAGGCAGCGAGATCGGCTCATCCGGGGAGGACAAGGATTGGATGAACAGCTCAGGGGACTCCACGACCAGGGGCAGTATATTCTCACCCCATAAACACCTCAAAGCGAATGCTGGGATTGGGACGTCCTCGACTTAGAGCGCGGTCGTCATTTCTGGATCTGATACTCAGAGAGAATACGTTGACACCGCCATCACCGCCCGCCGAGCTGCCACCGCTTCCAGACTCGCCCTCCTCAACCTCCACCTCATCCTCTACTCCTCCACCACAGGCTTCCTCCACCATGGCTGACAAAACAGAAGAGCAAGGTTCGGTGTTTTCGGTCTCCGGACCCGTTGTGGTGGCCGAGAACATGATCGGTTGTGCCATGTACGAGTTGGTATGTTGCCCTCCAGCTCCCAGCTCCCCAGCAACCCCGACGCTGATAAGTGCTTAGTGTCGTGTTGGTCATGACTTGCTTGTTGGTGAAGTCATTCGAATTGAAGGCGACAAGGCCACGATTCAGGTTTACGAAGAGACAGGTAGAGTTCCACCCCATCTTCGTTATCGAACCCCCGAGCTATACTGACCGATGCGATGATTGCATACTAGATGGTTTGACCGTCGGTGACCCCGTGACAAGGACAGGAAAGCCTCTCTCCGTTGAGCTTGGCCCCGGTTTGATGGAAACGATTTACGACGGTATCCAGCGACCCCTCAAGGCTATCTCCGACCAGTCCAAGGGTATCTACATTCCCCGTGGTATTTCCGTGAACGCATTGGACCGCGAAAGGAAGTGGGACTACAAGCCTACCAGCTTCAAGGTCGGCGATCACATCACCGGTGGAGATATCTGGGGTACCGTGTTCGAGAACAGTCTGGTGAACGACCACAAGATCCTGCTGCCTCCTCGTGCACGGGGTACCATTACCCGCATTGCCCCTGCGGGCAGCTACACCGTTGAGGAGAAGCTGCTCGAGGTTGAGTTCGATGGCAAGAAGACCGAGTTTGGTATGATGCAGACCTGGCCCGTCCGTGTTCCCCGCCCCGTTAGCGACAGGCTGTCCGCCGATGCGCCCTTCATCGTCGGCCAGAGAGTGCTGGATGCTCTCTTCCCCAGTGTCCAAGGTGGTACCGTCTGCATCCCCGGTGCTTTCGGATGTGGAAAGACTGTCATTTCCCAGTCTGTGTCCAAGTTCTCCAACAGTGATATTATCGTCTACGTTGGCTGCGGTGAGCGCGGTAACGAGATGGCCGAAGTCTTGATGGATTTCCCCGAAGTATGTATTCTCTGTGACTGTTTATAACTGCTGGCTAACCACACTGTTAGCTTTCAATTGACATCGATGGCCGTAAGGAGCCCATCATGAAGCGTACCTGCCTGATTGCCAATACCTCGAACATGCCCGTCGCTGCCCGTGAAGCCTCCATTTATACCGGTATCACCATCGCCGAATACTTCCGTGACCAGGGTAAGAACGTGGCTATGATGGCGGACTCCAGCTCCCGATGGGCCGAGGCTCTGCGTGAGATTTCTGGTCGTCTGGGTGAGATGCCTGCTGACCAGGGTTTCCCCGCCTACCTCGGTGCCAAGCTGGCCTCTTTCTACGAGCGTGCTGGAAAGAGCAGTGCTCTGGGTAGCCCCGAGCGTGAGGGCAGTGTCAGCATCGTCGGTGCTGTTAGCCCTCCCGGTGGTGATTTCTCCGATCCCGTCACTAGCAGTACTCTGGGTATTGTCCAGGTCTTCTGGGGTCTCGATAAGAAGCTGGCCCAGCGCAAGCACTTCCCTTCCGTCAACACCTCCATCTCATACAGCAAGTATAACACGGTCTTGGATAAGTACTACGAGAAGGACCATCCCGAGTTCCCTCGTCTGCGCGACGGCATTCGTGAGTTGCTGGCCAAGTCCGAGGAACTCGACCAGGTCGTCCAGTTGGTCGGCAAGGCTGCTCTGGGTGACTCTGATAAGATTACGCTGGACGTGGCCAGCATGGTTAAGGACGACTTCCTGCAGCAGAACGGATACAGTGACTACGATCAGTTCTGCCCTCTGTGGAAGACCGAATACATGATGAAGGCCTTCATGGGCTACCACAACGAGGCCCAGAAGGCTATCGCCCAGGGTCAGAACTGGAGCAAGGTCCGCGATGCCACCGCCGACCTCCAGAATTCCCTGCGCAGCATGAAGTTCGAGGTCCCCGATAACGAGAAGGAGATATCAGCCAAGTACGAGCAGATCCTCCAGTCCATGACGGAGCGATTCGCCTCGGTTTCGGACGAGTGAAAGTGCCATCTTAGCCTAGCATGTATTTTCCCATTTTTTAGATGTTTGTCGAGCACATTCCCCTGTAGCTATTGTGTCCAACTCGAGTGTTTTCTATCTTGCACAAGCCCGTACACGTCAGGCACACAGTGCACATGACCATAGCAGTTAAATATTATAACTTCGTATATCCATTCGCTACTTAGGTAGATACATTTCCTGCAGATCACTGCAGCCTAAGGGAGACCGCTCTGGCCGCCACTACATCACCGCCTTCGAGTCCAACCAAACAATCTCCCTACCTCCTCCGCTACACTCAACTTCCCTCGCTTGCGCTTCTTCTCTTTCTTTATTTCAATTTTTTTTTTGCCTAGAAAGCAGTTCTATACTGATATCGCCAGCCATGGCAAGCCCCACGACCGGCTATTCGTGCGAACCCCCCCCTGTCCCCTCTCCGATGCGGTCAAGCTAATCTCCGTGTGCCCAGCATAAACGTCAATGACCCCAGCTTGATTTCACTCGTCAACAAGCTGCAAGATGTTTTCTCCACAGTTGGAGTGAGTATCCAACCTCGAAAACTATATGCCAATTGTGGTTCTAGGGGTGTCTCGTGCGCTGACACCGCTTGCTTTAGGTCCACAACCCGATCGATTTGCCCCAGATTGTCGTCGTCGGATCGCAGTCCAGCGGAAAGAGTTCGGTGCTAGAGAATATCGTCGGCCGGGATTTGTACGTGGTCCATTTCGTGGAGCTTGCGCGGCCCCGTCAACACCCCCGGTGGCGGGGTATGCACACCGGTGTCAACAATTGCTAACCATAGATCTCACGATATAGCCTGCCTCGTGGCTCGGGAATCGTTACCCGGAGACCTCTCATCCTGCAACTCATCAACAAGACCCCCAGCGCTCCCAGCGCTCATCCAAATGGCGACAAAAAGTTGGAGACAACGGACTCCGAGTCCAACGTGGACGAATATGGTGAATTCCTGCACATCCAGGGCCAGAAGTTCTACGATTTCAACAAGATTCGGGAGGAGATCGTGCGCGAAACGGAAACCAAGGTCGGCAAGAACGCCGGTATTTCGCCCGTTCCCATCAACCTGCGCATCTACTCGCCCAACGTCCTCACCCTGACCCTCGTCGATCTGCCCGGTTTGACCAAGGTGCCTGTCGGAGACCAGCCGAAGGATATTGAGCGCCAGATCCGTGAGATGGTACTCAAGTACATCAGCAAGCCCAACGCAATCATCTTGGCTGTTACTTCGGCCAACCAGGATCTTGCCAACTCCGATGGTCTCAAGCTGGCGCGTGAGGTGGATCCGGAGGGTCAACGCACTATCGGTGTGTTGAGTAAGGTCGATCTGATGGACGAGGGAACCGATGTGGTGGATATTCTCGCTGGACGAATTATCCCCTTGCGCTTGGGTTACGTTCCTGTGGTCAACCGCGGCCAGCGTGACATTGAGAACAAGAAGCTCATTGCTGCTGCTCTGGAGAATGAGAAGAACTTCTTCGAGAACCACAAGGCTTACCGGAATAAGGCTTCTTACTGCGGTACGCCATACTTGGCACGCAAGCTCAACCTGGTATGTCTTCTTCTAATCGCGATGGGAACTGATGAGCTAACAAACCATCTCTAGATTCTTATGATGCACATCAAACAAACCCTGCCCGATATCAAGGCCCGCATTTCCTCCTCTCTCCAGAAGTATACATCGGAGCTTGCGCAACTCGGTGACTCCATGCTCGGCAACAGCGCCAACATTATTCTGAACATCATTACGGAATTCAGCAACGAGTACCGCACAGTCTTGGAGGGTAACAACACGGAATTGTCCAGTATTGAGCTGTCAGGTGGTGCGCGTATCAGTTTCGTGTTCCACGAGCTTTACTCCAACGGTATCAAGGCCGTTGATCCCTTCGACATTGTCAAGGACATTGACATCCGCACCATCCTTTACAACTCTTCTGGTTCCTCCCCGGCACTGTTTGTCGGCACCACCGCTTTCGAGCTGATTGTCAAGCAGCAGATCAAGCGTCTGGAAGAGCCCAGCTTGAAGTGTATCTCCCTGGTCTTTGACGAGCTTGTCCGCATCTTGAGTCAGCTCCTGACCAAGCAGCTGTTCCGCCGCTACCCCATGCTGAAGGAGAAGTTCCACACTGTGGTCATCGCCTTCTTCAAGAAGTGCTTGGAGCCCACCAACAAGCTGGTCAAGGACTTGATCAACATGGAGGCCACCTACGTGAACACTGGCCACCCTGACTTCCTAAATGGTCACCGCGCCATGACTCTCGTCAATGAGCGCCAGCAAGCTGCCAAGCCTACCCAGGTCGACCCCAAGACTGGCAAGCCTCTTCCGGGCCGTGCTCAGAGTCCCTCCCTTGATACTACCGGTGAAGCCCAAAACGGCAGTGGCTTCTTCGGCAGCTTCTGGGCCTCCAAGAACAAGAAGAAGATGGCCCTGATGGAGGCTCCTCCCACAACTCTCAAGGCTTCTGCCAGCTTGTCTGAGCGTGAAGCCACCGAGGTTGAGGTTATCAGTAAGTGGACATTAGCAGTATTCCAATGACCGATCACTAACACTTAGACAGAGCTGCTCATCACCTCCTACTTCAACATTGTCAAGCGCACCATGATTGACATGGTTCCCAAGGCTGTCATGTATACCCTGGTCCAGTATGTGTTATACCCATCACCAGTGTTTCATATACTAACAATCAATCTAGATTCACCAAAGACGAAATGCAACGCGAACTCCTGGAGAACATGTACCGCAACAACGAGCTGGACGAGCTACTCAAGGAAAGTGACTACACAGTCCGCCGACGAAAGGAATGCCAACAAATGGTGGAGAGCCTGGGCCGCGCCAGCGAGATCGTCAGCCAAGTCCAGTAAAGAGTGGTCCATACCAGGGAAAAACGAAATCATTTTATTCCATTCCATGTTTATCGGCCGACTGTATGATTGAGCTATCGCGTTGGCGGAGTTGGGCTGCCTGTGGATTTTATGACGTGAATATCTCGAACTATACTCGTACCTTGCTCTTCCTGTCTGCCTTTGCCCCAGAATAACAACGTGTGTTGTTGGCCTAGGCTTCAGATGATTTTCCCTCTCGGTGCTCGGTGATTCGACTCAAGATCGGGTTGTGTCTGGCTAAGACTGGGGAGGTTGGTTTGTTACTTTGTTTTCCCTATGTGCTCGCTTTTCAATTTCTCTTCGCTTTTTGCCCCAATTTGAGAGCTCTATACCGTTTTCCTTTCTCATTTGGTCATTGTCTGTGTTCGACTTTCGTGAATTTTCAGATGACGACTGTATCAATTAATGATTGTCTCTGCTTTATGACTTAGCTTTAGAATTCAGACTTTCCTTTTTACATACTCTACTTCCTTTTCTCGATAAAATGAATCTGTATAACCATTGTACATACTTGCGTTTTGCTCGGTGGTGATCTAGGTAGTGTTTCTACTCTAACTTCCATTAGGCTTAGCGCTCCTGCATGTCATGCATACGGTATGCATAATCTACCCCAAAGCCCATCCCCATCACCTTCACATTCAGGTCTACTCCTTGAGAGAATGCCGATAAGAATAATACCAATCCCCCCTCCCAAGATCCTGCCTTACCTTATAATTAGCCTCGGCAGCATCAACAACCCCAACATCCAACTCCCGAACAAGAACACCCTCCTCAGCCCCCATCTTCCCCACAGGCCCAGTAATAGGAAGTGTAATCTGCGACAATCCCAAGAAATCCTCTTCAGGACCCGCTGCATTGGCGAAGATCACTGCGCAAGTATTCTCGAAACAACGTGCTGTAATCGTTGATTCGAGGAAGAGGGCTTCGCAATTTGGATTACTTTTGCGTGCTTCTGGTGATGCGTCGTGGGGTGTCCCTGGTAATCATTGTTAGAATATAGAAAGAAAAGATGGCAAGGATCGCAAGATGAGGGCAAGTGTAAGGGAGAGGGAACATACAAAAAGTAGGAATAATAACAATCTTAGCCCCATCAGCAATCAACTCCCGAAATGCCTCGGGGAACGCCAAATCCCAACAGATGAGCATACCAACACGTCCAACCGGCGTGTCGAATGCGATATGGCGCTCATGAGTGGAGGAGGTTAGATGTGGTCGCTCCGGGTGCCAGATGTTCTTTTTGCGGTAGGACGATAGGATTGAGCCATCGTTTGAGATGAAGTAGGCTGTGTTGTAGAAGAGGGTTGCGTTGTTTTCGCCGGGACGCTTTTCGATGATTGTACCTGGAACGAGGCTTATTCCTAGTTCTTTTGCTAAGGTTTGGTAGTTTGCTAGGTATCTTGGGGAGTCTGTTGCTTGGGTTGACCAGAGGGGGTCGTTGGGGACCCAGCCGCTTAGGTGGTATCTGGTTTATTGTGTTAGTGTCGGGCCATTTGATGTTGGTCTTGGTTGGTGTTGGTGCTGGTGGTGAGGTTGGCCTTACTCTGGCAGGACGGCAAGTTCGGCCTTCTGGTCAGCTGCTTTTCGAATGTATTCGCATGCTTTTGCGTGATTGTATTCAGGGTCCAATGGCTGCCATATCGTGAGTCAGTATAATTTGCAGCAGTGCCTGCGAATGCAGCTATGTCAATTCGAACTCACCTTGATCTGCCACTGGATAACGGACACACGCGGATTAGGAGCCATGTTGAGTCTATTCAGTGGGGTCAATAGAGAATAGAAGAAAAGAGGAATATCCAAGCGTGATGTCAAAGAGGTAAGTTATCGGTTACCCCAACAAGTTGGAGACCGTGGGGTCAGTCAAGGATGCAACCCCACTCCGATCTCCGATCAAGCAGGTCTATGCGAACAACATCTATTAACTTATTGATATGTAACATAATAACATAAACAGATCACAGCACCCCCAGCTCCTCACTGAACGTTGGCTTCTTACTGACCCGATATACCAACCGATCCGTCCAGAAGTGCGAGAACACAGCATGAATAGTAGGCACAGCACCGTACAAAGTACCCGAAATAGGAAAACAAACTCGCTCAAAGAGACATTGCGGCTGATACCAGACACGTCGAGAGAAGCCTGTATCAGGCAAATTAGCCTCACGCATATCCTTCACCCGGCTATCCAAACAAAGAGCATGCCAGCGCTCATACAACGCCAAACAGATATTCATCCCAACAAACCCAAGCGTGCGCAGGGTATTAGTAAACGAAAACACCCACGCCAGGGTAGGATGAAGCGACGAAACGGGGTTCCACAGTGTATAAAAGACAGAGAATAACATAAGCAGGGTAAGATGGCACGGCATGAAATGCGCTTCCCAGAGCAAGTGGAGCAAGGCGAAATGTCGGGGTCGCAGGAATAGACAGCGCTGATTGAAGCGTAGATATCCAATTGTCCGCCGTGCAGCGAATCCTGAGTCTAAGGCTCCCCACATGTGTCGCAGGGCCTGGCGGTAGCGGGCTATGCAGGTGTCGATTGTTCGGCGCCAGCCGCGTCCTGCGTCGCTGGAGACGTTGCATTGGCTTGCTGGGATGTGGACCACGCGCGAGATTAGGTTGCCGGCTGTTTCGAAGTAGCATTTTAGGAGCATGTGGAGGTCTTCGCCAATCGCTGTTGGGTCGCTGTCCCAGCCGCCGACTTTTTCGACTAGGGATAGCGGGAGGGAGTAGACGGATGTTGGGATGGCGATTACTGTGTAGGGATACATGGTGGATAATCCTGCGAAGCCCCATAGCAGGTCTGCACATCGAACAAGTATTGGACTTTCGTGGGAGTTGCGGTCGAAGATTATTGGGCAGCAGTAGATTGAACGGTCTGCTTCGGTGATGTGCGAGTAGTGTAGTCGGCGGATTTCAGTAAAGTAATCGCGGGATAGATGGGTATCAGCTAAATGAAGGTTAATAACGGGATTTACAGACGTGTGAAGCACAGCTCACCATCCATCACAGTGACCATCACATTGCATGACTCCAGTTGTAGAGCTGTGCGGTAGACCTCGACGATCCTTCGTGCCGCGAATGCCACATTAGAGCTCTTCCCTGCAATCTCCCCTCGTATACCGGCAGGATGGAAGGTAGTTTGGATGTTTAGGAAGGACTTTTCAAATAATGAGACCAGTTGAGCAGCCTTGTCGATTGCGGCATTCTCCTTTTGCTCCATTGCGAGGTAAATCTGGCTTATGTGAGCCCCTGAAAGACAATATGGAGCACTGGAAAACTCACGTCATATTGCGACTTTGCCCTGGGATGGCTTGCCAATACCTTCAGTGTCGTCTCAAGGGTGTGAAGATCTTCGCAGTAGTTGGGAAGAATGATCGCATTGATCAGCTCTGGAGTGCCGATCTCGACCTCGCTTGTATGAAGAGACTTGGACAGAGACTGGTCAAATGATTCTATAGACCCTGCTGTAAATGGAGAATCCGGGTCATACTCCAATTGGCGTCTGTTGATGGCCCGTCGGGTCTCCTTGGTTATGTTGACGAGCGACAGTGCAAGCCGAATGGTGAAGGCGAACATCTGGGTATGGATAAACACAATGTAGACGACAAAAAAAGCCTGCGCAGTATTGAGACCGCTCCATGGACCTTCTGAGGGAGCCTTGGTGGATGGGGGAAAGAAACTCTTCCATAGAGACGACTTCAGGACATCGGAGAAAGCAAATACCAGCATCAAGATCAATGCGATAATGCTGAACCCTGGCAGGCAGCGCGACAGCCACACCAGCATCTTGCAGTCTAGATCGGAGCTTGTCAGGAGAGCAAAAGAAGAGACGGAGGAAAAGGAGAGAAGGGAGTCACACGGGGGGTTCACAGCTTTATACTGTGAGCTATGGCCTAGCAGATATCCTAAAATGGATCCTACAATATCCTAAACTGGATCCTACAATATCCTAAAATGGATCCTACACACTATTGCGAACAAGTGCAGTAACTGTAAGGAAATCCTTATGCGTAATCAACAGTATAGACAAGTATAGAGCGAGATTGCAAAACGTGCTAGGCAGCTAAGTTATATAGTTCAAAAGCTTGGTGTTCTGTCCGCCCTCAACATTGGCTGTCGAGGGCTTTGGTCTCTCCACCATCGCTGCCCCAGAACCAATAATCGTCGACATCGCAGACGCGTGGTCAACCCCGAACCATGGCTTCACCTCTCTCCCTTTTCTATTTCAAGGGTTAACTTTGAATGAGTCCCAGGGTACGCAAATCCTCCAGTCGCGAATCCCATCGCACCGATGACCAATCCCACGAATCCCCCACCAAACCGTAACTCTCCCATTCCCCGTCTGGTTTGCGCGCGTTGAGCGCCCAATATCCCCAGCTGGTATCGACCTCGGCCAGAAATTGTACCAGATGGCTCCAGTAGTTCTGGTCACCTGCTGATGGCTCACCAGGCGTTCCAAACTCCCCAACCCAGACCGGCGCAATATGCTCAGAAAGCAGGTATGCCCAGTTCTTGTCCATTGCTGCTGCGAATTCACTGTATGCCCGCTGGGAATATGGGTACAGATCTCCCCAGCCTGACCACTTATATACATGCGCCGAGTACACTACTCGGCCCGGTCGACTCAGTTGTACTGGGCGTTCCCGTACCCGTGACAGATCGTTCGCCGATGAGATCCCTTCCACGATCATCAGCCAGTCCGGGTTGATGTCGAGTAGTCGTTCCGAGGCCTTCTCTGCTGCGCTTGCCCAGTCTTCCCAGCCCAACGTACCCCAGAGTCCTCGCGGCTCGTTTCGCAGGTCGGCGCCTAGGACGAGTGGATTCCCTGCTAGCGGTCGCATCACCGTTTCCCAGTTGCGGATCCATTGCTCTTCGGTTTGGGGGATGCGACAGAAGAGGGATCCGCCGAACCAGTCGTTCGACCAGCCTGTGTCGCAGAGGTTGATGCCGCAGCACCATGTTGCCTGTGTGATGTGGTTGTTTACAATGACGAGGAGTCCCGCTGCTGTTAGGCTTTCCACTACGGCATGGTAGACATCCAACGCCGTTGGTTCGCCGGGGGTTGTGGCTGTTTGGACGAGGTCCATGTTGCTTGCAATCAGGGATGAGTTTATCACTGGGTTCTTGTCCACGATCTCGTCGGCATATGGGAGTCGCACACTGTTGAAGCCTAGCTTTCGGATCAACTGTGCAATGTCATCTCGATGTTGTACATCTAACCCGGATGGGATGAAGTGGATGTCGCTGGCTCCGTACCAGTTGATACTGGCTAACTTGACCTTCCTCCCTTCGGCATCCTGGATGTGTCGGCCTCGAGTGTGGAATGGAGGTGTGAAGACCGTAGTGGCTGGTGATACATGGATCCCAGGTTGGAGGACTGGTATACCCTCATCATCGGCCTTCGTCCTGTAGATGTCTGGTAGAATGAATAGCAGCAGGATCATCACTGCTATTGTTACCCCCACCCACGGCCTGGCGATGATTCTTAAGATAGATATCATAATGAGTTATCTCATTCGATAAATAACTCCTGAATATTCAACACAATCATCTAGATTGATAAATCGAAACAAGTCAATGATGGCATCCCAGAGATGAGGCACATCCGGCTATTCCGCTCTATTTTGGCTAGTGGGATGCTCCATTGGGCCAATGATGGAGTATCTACGTGTGTGGCCGAAAGTCAGTGAACTCACACTTCGGAACAAAATCAATAGTAAGTGATATAACCACACGACAGCATATCTAGTCAGGTTTATGATCAATGTCATTGTTCTACACTCGCTTTCGTCAGCAGAGCTTAGGGTTGTAGCCCCGCAAGGAACACTCGTTGTTCCACAATACGTTATATCTAGCCACGGGAGTTGAAACTAACAAATGAGAAATAGGAGCAAAGGAAATTGATACATGTGATTATGACTGTTTACCCATTTGATTTAGGGCTGGCTTAGGGCTACGATGAATATATACAGGGATAGCCTAACGAGCGCGTAGCTTAACAACAAGTTTTTACGCCCAAAACTGTCGGCCATTCAGTATACATCGGGGATTAGAGATGCTTCTTCATCTTTCAAATCCATCTCGATTCTTTTAGGTTTGGAGATGCGTTGGCATGAAAATAGATATATTGGCACCTTGAATATTGTCTGACTGGATCGCCCACCCTGACCGGATAGTTAATCCCGGCTGTGGTGGACACGCCATGCGCCCTAGCAAGTTGATATAACTCTAATTCTGAACGTTAGATTTCAACCTTGCCACTACCTGAAGATGGTGTCCCATGCTTTACCCACAGGATGCCGGATCCTTGTGACTAGCGCAAATGGCTATATTGCATCTCACGTCGTTGACCAACTGCTAGCTTTGGGATATGCTGTGCGAGGTACCATTCGCGCCCCGAAACCATAACTGAATGGATTCGAAAGAGACTTTTTGGGAGTGTGATTGTTTCCTCCTTTGGAGGAATCACCGTAGGAGCTCTTGCCGTAAATACGTAGTTTCCTTATGCATAGTAAATAGAAGTACCTCGGATCCATGACCGCCAATTCTCGGGGCATTAGCATTGCCAAGAAATTGATGTATTTTTACCGTTTAATGCATTGGAAATACAATAATCGGGTTTAGTGAACGTAGGTAGAGTCCGAACGCTCAACATGGGGGGTCTTTTTTGGGGGCACCGTAAACAAAAGCGCTTAAGCAGGATCAGCGATTGCAGCAAACTTATCACCATCACCAATCTGACCTTTACTTGACGTCGCTATATATAGTCGTCATGGCCAAAGAGAAGCGAAATCATACCTGGTCTGCTTTATTGGCCGCTTATGAGGAGGGATACGACCGCGTGGTCAAGCTATTGCTCGATCAGGGGAATCCTTTCAAGGGCATGGAGAGTGAGACATTGACTGACAGGCTTTGGAAGTTCGCACACATGGAACCCGGAAACGACAAAGTCGAATGACTTTTACGGCCCTACTGTTCTGCTGTTGCCGGGAAGAACTCGAGCCATAAAATACGGCCAGCCTGCTTGCTGTCCAGTCCGATGGATTTGAGGTTGATGATGTTTTCTACATTCACTTTGAACATGGCAAATGATCCGAACATGTAAAACTAGTTTACATTATACAAGCTCGATGTTGCTGTTCCTCTCGTACTTTCATATTTTATTCCAGACCCCTTGGACTCTCATGTTGGCATCAAATACCAGTTCAAATCCCGAGAAACAATCAGAAGACCTTACAAAGTTGTTCGGATAGAGGCTCGGAACAAATACAAGCTGAGCCTAATTCCGACGTGGGGCCTGGGCAGCATCAAGACGTCACATTTCTAGTCAAATTCAAGAGAGACCGAGACCGCATATAGTTACGTCACTTCCAGTAAGACAACCCATCTCTGAGAATGATTTAACGTGTGATTTAATTCATCGGTTTGGAAGTATCCTCTGAACTAATTTCAATCCACTATGCCTTCTGCTATTGTCACTGGTGCTACAGGTAAGTGAAACTATGTTCGAATTCACTTGAGATCTTCAACGCACAATGACTTGATTAACATACAAACGATAGGAATAACTGGAAATGCGATCGTTCGCCATCTCCTGAAAGATTCTTCGTACACCAAAATCTACACCCTCTCGCGAAGCCAGCCAAGTGTACAAGATGCACGAGTCGAGCACGCCTGCCTTGACCTCCAAGCCTCCGCAGAGGAAATGGCCAAGGGCCTTGCCGGCGTTTCCGCAGAGTACATTTACTTCTGTGCCTACCTGGCGCGCGACAATGAAGACGAGGCGGCTCGCGTGAACGGCGCGTTGCTCTCCAGCTTTATCAAAGCCCTTGAGATTACCGGCGCGACAAAGAAACTCAAGCGCTTTGTCCTCACTTGTGGATTAAAACACTACGGTGTCCATCTCGGATTGCCTAAGCAGCCGCTCGTCGAATCTGATCCTCCATTGGAGGACAGTCTCGGTGGTCACCAATGGCCACCGAATTTTTACTACACTCAACAGAACATCCTGAGAGAAGCTGCAGCTCGAGGCAACTGGGAGTGGATCTGTACCCTTCCGAACGATGTTATCGGCTTCGCTAAGCATAACTTCATGAACGAGGCTACTGCTCTTGGGCTATATTGTGCGGTCAGCAAAGCTCTGCCAGGTTCACAGTTGATTTACCCCGGCAATAAAGTGAACTACTTCATCAACAACTGCTGGACTTCCGCAGAGCTCCATGCCCAGTTTTGCTTGTGGGCTGCCACTGCACCTGGAGCTGGCAACAATATTTTCAATGTTACCAATGGAGACACCCAGTCTTTCCAGAGTTTGTGGCCTCTTCTCGCAGAGCGCTTTGGTTGCACAATTCCGGAGAACATGTTCGACCCTGCTACGACTGAAGGATACAAGGATGAGGCCACCAACGTTGAACTCAAGAACAACAACCCTATTTCTGTGCACGCCAAAACAATGGGCATTGCTGATGATCCTGTGAACTCTCGATCCCCCGCTCTTCGACTTCCTATCGATCCCCAGAAATGGGCACAACGAAAGGATGTCCATGAAGCATGGAATAAGCTCAAGGGGAAATATAACTTAGACCAAGCTGCCTGGGACAAGGCTACCTGGGGATTTTTGACTTTTGTGCTTGGTCGTGAATGGGGCTGTGTTGCTAGCATGAGCAAGGCTAGGAAGCTTGGGTGGTCCGGATACGAAGATACCTGGGAGGCGTTTGATAGGACATTTGACATTTTGGAGAAGGAGGGAATCATTCCTCCCGTTGGTCAGCTGAAGTATGACTACTAGTTTATACGCTCATTATAAGCATTTGCGAGTAAAATGGTATTCAAATATACAGATATACCAATTTTTGTTTCACCTCTTACCTGTCAGTTATAGATTCGCACGGTGAGCGGGTTTGTGTAGAGCCAGTTGGGAATTCTATATCAATCTGCAAGTCCGATCTTCAATCCAACTACAGTACATGTAGATGGCGATTTATGATGCCTCACTTGCGCAATCAGCTGATCGGTACATCCGATATTATCAGCTGCAGATACGAGTGGCTTCGCTTACATCCTTGGCTCTTCCGTCTATTTTCTTAGGCAAGTGTATACATAAAATATGTCGCTCGGTTGTTTACTGCACTTACTGCATTGTTAAACAAAACCCACGGTCGGGCTCTCCGACAACCCCTATCATACAGCATAGACAGCCGACATAGCCCCGAAAGGGTAAACAACGAGTTCCCTCAATTATTAGTGTTGTTGCCCCGGGTTCACCATGAGCTTCGAGAACAGGTGACCGGAATGGCCGGCCTTATTCTTGGCAGCTGACATCATTTTCGCGTGGAATGGCTGGAACATGATCAAGTCATATAGTAACATTTGGAAAAGATCATCCCTTCCGACAAGAATGTCGAGAGTGACCGTAACTTGGTAAGCTGATTTCCGGAAACGGTCGTATACATATACCCCCTTGTCGCTACTTTTACATGTACTGCACACCGCCAGCAGGGTTGAGAAAATTGCCCCAATGAGACGGCAGTACCTGAGACATGTTGACAGATAATTGGAAACAAGACAAGAGGCCTGATATCTCGACTGCAGTGCCAAGTATAAGGTGTCGAAAAGCAAAGAGAGACCGGCCAATCAGCGAGGAAACAGTGTGATTTTTCACCAGCCCTAACATCACAGGGGTTAAGTGTAGCAGTCTAGGGCCGGGCCACGACATGGTGGAATGAAAAAGTGGGCCAATCTCAAATTCGCCCCTGATTAGGCAGCCAGATATAACTTGCTAGTTTGTAGCTATCGTGGTATATCGGAATATTGGAGCTATCAAATCCATTATGCATACTGCAGTGACCACATGCCTGCTGCAGATTGCAGATTGCAGATTGCAGACTGCAGTAGCGTTCCACCGCCACTTCTGCATAGTCCAAGATAGATATGAAACAAAAGAAAGCTTGACTATAAGAAAAAGGGGAGACGAGTCCACAGTGGATAACTGCGCTCATATACTGCCAGGGAAGAGTGCGCATTACATACCAAAACCAGTTGGAGTTGCTCCGCCACACCCAAAACGGGCGGCAAAACGATCGGCAGTCCACGTTTTCCGTGGCAGTTGACAATACCATACGGTAATATTGCCGGCCGCATGCGTTATTTTTTTTTGCAGCTTGCCATTTCGGTCTTTTTTTTTATATTCTGTTCGCCTCTTTGTCTCTTCTCTATTACTTTCATTCCTCTATCCTTCTCATGTCTTCCATCAGCTCCAATTGTGGCTCAATGCCACGCGGCTAAGAGCGGCGTGCTCTCTGGAAAACTCTCCGCTCGGTAGCGATCGACGGGACCACATGTATGGCCCGCAGAACGAGGTCGGAGTTGCGAGCTAAATTCATGCAGGATTGAAAAACTCCCCTCATTTCGAGAGTCTCCCATCTCGTCAAATCCGGCCCCTGTGGCCTTTCGGCAACCGTCTGGCCGACTGTGCCTGGTCAACATGTTCTCGGCCTTCATTCGACAGGTATCCTCCCTGAAGCAACGGGTTCCGCTGCTGAACGAGTTGCACCTCAACTTCATCTTCATCCACTATGCCTATATCATCTCGTGGGTCATCATCGGTTCGATTATCCTCTATCCCGGCAGCGAGCTCGCCTATATCGATGCGCTCTTCTTCGCCGCCGGCGCCGCCACCCAGAGCGGGCTCAACACCGTCGATATCAATAAACTCAAACTCTACCAACAAATCGCCCTATACTTGATTCCATGTCTGTGTACGCCGATTTTCATTCATAGTGCGCTGGTTTTTATCCGGCTGTACTGGTTTGAGAAGCGCTTCCAGCATGTGGTCCGCGATGCACGTGTGATGCGACGGACCCGTTCCCGTATGGAAACTGTGACTGAGGACCGGGGTAGCGATGAGGTCAACCGTGCGGAACTTGGAGTCAGTGGCCGACCGATTGTGGTGTTGCGGAACAATTCAGGAGATGCACGAGACGGTCGCTTGGCGGACACGCCCAGCAAAAATATAGCTCCGGGGGCTGACAGTCCAGAGATTCCCACACCCAGTGCTGGGTCTGGCTCCAGGTCTGACTCTAGGTCTGGTTCCAGGTCTGGCTCCGGGCCTGGCTCCAGCTCCAGTTCCGATGAAACTGAAGCTGAACGTGAGCCTCGATTCGGACTCGGTAGTTTGAAGGTCCCAACTCATCTGAACCCCGAAACTCACATCGCCTTCCTGGAAAAGCAACGGAAGGACAAAGGAGCTCTCCGGATTCCAAGTCCGCGTGAGTATGATCGTGGCGGAGCCCCCGAAGCTTTAGAAGAAGATGCCGATCAGGAGGAAGAGCAGGCTCTCCCTCCTAGTCCTCGTAACACCGATGCTAGCCCGTCAAACCACCCCGAGGCGGATGATCAACTCGGTCCACTTGAAGGACCCCACATCACTATCAACGAGCCAGAGATTCCAAGGACTCGTCCACGCGGGAATACATTCCCTCGTCTAAATACTCAACCCACGTTCCGAGAAACTAAGGACGGGAATGAAACGACTACTCTTGCCCCCACCAACACGAGAAACACTTTCAGGGGAATCTTCCGATCTCTGACACAAGAACGGGAACTTTCGACTCAACCATATCTCAGTTGGAATGCGACAGTGGCACGAAACTCCAACTTTGTTGATCTAACCGAGGAACAGCGTGACGAGCTGGGCGGTATCGAATACCGTGCTCTGAAGACCTTGGCTGTCGTGCTTATCACCTACTACGTTGGCTTCCATCTCATCGGCATGCTTAGCATGATCGGCTGGATCATGACCGTGGACCAATGGGGCAATGTTGTCAGAGAGGCTGGAGTTGGACGGCCTTGGTGGGGAATTTTCACTGCTGCCTCTGCCTTTAACGACGTGGGTTTCACCTTGACGCCCGACTCCTTTTACTCCTTCCAGCGGGCCGTCTTCCCGTTGCTCATGTTGTCATATTTGATTATCATAGGAAACACTGCGTTCCCATGTATGCTCCGTTTGATGATCTGGGTTATGTCCAAGTTCACCCGCCAGGGAACTGCCCTATGGGAAGAACTTAAGTTCCTTTTGGACCACCCGCGTCGATGTTTTACTCTCTTGTTCCCTCGCAATGCCACCTGGTGGCTGTTTGCGATCCTTGTTGCCTTGAATGGCATCGATGTGATCTTTTTCGTTATTCTCGATGTGAGTTACTCCCTCTCTTTCTTGTGTGACTCCGCTGACCCACGATGTAGCTTAACGATCCTGCTGTCACCTCACTCCCTCCTGGAATCCGAGTCCTAGATGGCTTCTTCCAAGCGGCTGCGACAAGAACGGCCGGTTTCGGAATCATCAGTCTTTCATACCTCCACCCTGCTATCCAGGTCTCCTATCTCATCATGATGTATATTTCAGTCTTCCCGATCGCTATCTCAATGCGTCGAACCAATGTGTACGAAGAGAAGAGTCTTGGTATATACGATGCTACCGATGAGGATCACGAGGATTCCAACGCACCCACCTATATCGGCGCTCACTTGCGGCGCCAGCTGAGTTTCGATTTGTGGTATGTGTTTTTGGGTCTGTTTATTATCGCTATCGCAGAAGGCACAAGGCTGCAGTCACCGGCCGACTACTCCTTCCAGCTATTCACCGTTCTGTTCGAGGTTGTCTCCGCCTATGGTACAGTTGGTCTGTCGTTTGGTTATCCCAACGTGAATACCTCGTTCTCTGGGCAGTTCAATGTGGTTTCCAAATTGGTGATCATTGCCATGCAACTCCGTGGTCGCCACCGTGGCCTGCCTTACGCGCTAGATCGTGCTGTGCTGCTCCCATCCGACGCTATGAACCGACACGAAGCCGAACAGAGCGAGAGGCGGATGCGCCGACGCGCATCCAACCTCAGCGGTGCTGGCTCTTTCGGCCCATCACAGTCGCGTACCCTATCTCAGGCGAGGAACGATGCCGCCCAGACATCGGGTTCGGAAACTCATGACTGGCAAACAGGTCCTGCGCCAAATGCAGACTCTCTGGTGCATCGCTCCTCGACTATCCGATCCAATCGATAGACAATGGGCGGATCTTTGCTTTTTTGTTGATACCATAGGAAATTGGCGTTTTTACATACATCCCTGCATTAGCTACATACTGGAAATAACCTGAACATCTATTGGATATTTTCTGCATTCATTTTTAATTTATTTCAATACACGTCAAGCCTATAGCATGACGTCGGGACCCTGCACATTCCTTTACCGATCGCGGGGAGTCCAGTCTCGGCGGTGACGTATTTTGCGCCTCGAACACACAGTAGAATTCCAGCACAAAAGCCTGCACATTAACTAAAGAACACCAGATATCAAGTACTGTGCCAGGTACCAGTTCGGACCTTGGATTAAGAAACAGAGCTAGTCCTTAGAAAGGCATAGGTGAGCCAGGCTAGACTACTTCGAGACAGATGATCCGTGGGTTCGCAAACGGGAACCCGTTGTGATCGACACTTCCATTCCAGGGTCCATGACGACAGATTGTTGCTGCTGCCCAAGGTTAAAAGAAGAGTCATGGTCGTTCTTAACATCCCCAAAGTATCTCTTAGACGATAAATTATCTCTACTTAATATCTAATTTTACTATGGACGACCGCCAACTACCCCCCCAATTCCTCGACCGCTACAGCGGAGCCACCTCGCGCATCCCCACCCTCGAAACCAAAACCCCGATCACGACCTCGGCAGTCCCAGGCCGAGACGCCACAACCACACTCCATCGATATGACCCACGTGTCTGGTCCCTACGCAACAAACTCCTCGCAGGTGGAGCAGTCATCGTCCTACTATTGATAGTCATCGTGGTCCCCGTCGAAGTCGTGAAAAACAGATACCCAAAATACACACCCCTTGATTACACCCTGACCGACACATACGAGGGAACCGCCTTCTTCGACCACTTCACCTACTTCACCGAGCAAGACCCAACATCCGGCTTCGTAATCTACGTCAACCAAGAAGCAGCCACAGACTTAAACCTCACCCACGCGACAGAGACATCAGCCATCCTACGCGTGGACGCCTCGACACCAAACGCCATCGCAGGCCGGAACTCTGTGCGCATCGAATCCATAAATAAATACGACAATGGCCTCTTCGTCTTCGATATCCTCCACACACCATTCGGCTGCGCGACATGGCCAGCGTTATGGTTAACAGATGGATATAACTGGCCCTCGAACGGCGAGATCGATGTCCTGGAAACAACAAATGAAGGAGCCCACGGCAACGAAGTCTCCCTACATACAACAAAAGGTTGTACAATGAAAGACGTCAAACGCAAACAAACCGGCCAAGCCTCCTTCGAAAACTGCGATGGTAGCGTCGGCGGGAACACGGGTTGTGGCGTTATTGGCGCGGAAGATACATACGGCGACGCAATGAACAAGGCCGGCGGCGGCGTTTACGCCCTTGAGCTGCGCGAGGCGGGTATCCGTGCTTGGTTCTTCCGACGGGATTCGATACCCGCTGATATCACCGCTTCGAAGCCTGATCCTTCCACTTGGGGGACTGCTTTGGCGGATTTCCCTGGTACGGAGTGTGATGTTGCTTCGCATTTCAGGAACCAGAGTATTATTGCTAATATTGATCTTTGTGGGGAGCTTGCTGGTCAGCCGCAGTTTTATGATAATATGTATCATTGTCCTGCTACTTGCACTGAGTTTGTGAAGAGTAGTCCTGAGAGTTTTGTTGATGCGTTTTGGGAGTTTAAGAGTTTCAAAGTTTATCATGCTGTTTGAAGGGTTTTGATCTGGATTTCATGCTTTGCTATGATTGCTACAATCTTTTTTTTTCTTTTTCAACTAGATTCTCGATTCTCGTTAGTTTGTATTTGGGAGCCATTGCTTCAGTGCTTCATGTGTGCTTCCTTTAATGGGATTTGGGTGGCTGCATTCTTGCAATGGATGTTAGACTATTATTACATTAATCCACAAGTTGAATGGTATACCTCACGCTCTCGTATGCTCACTTAAACCGCCAAATAGTGACAGAGACTCATTGATATCCCAGAGTTGTGGAGTAGGCCGGTCCTGCAGCCTTAGCGAACCCTTACATGATTAAATGACGTTATTGAATAATGTATATACTAAATTCAACCTACCACGATAGATTGATAGGAAGTTAAGTATGAATACTCGCGGAGGTAATGAGTTTCCCATGCTCGTCTAGCTCCCACATAATAACCATATGCTTGTTCTCAACATCATCATCGGATACTAACATATAGCGGAATTTGCTTTGGCTCTCGGACTTATAGACCACACCCGCAGCAAACTGAACTGTCTCAACCACACCTGTATGTCTTCTCAGCACTTCGAGACGCTCTTGCGTACCGTGGTGGACGTGGGATAGTAGAGCAACCAGCCTTGTATCAAACGACACTGATTTTTATTTTTTTGCTTTTTATCCTTTTCTATTTTCCTAGCGTGAAAACCACTCAACTAAATTAGAATATGAACGGAGATTTTACGCGTACTCGTATTTGTAGCCTCGTCAGGAACTTTATACGAGCTAAGAATAACGGGCCCGGTAATCTACCCGTCGATTACAAACGTAAAATTCCAACTAGTACCAGTAACCGTATGGTTCTGTTACAATACAAGTCTCAATCGAGATTTTGTGCACAAGCTGAAAGTAGGCAAACATATTCGAGAGTCAGACCCTAACTGATAGTACGAATACGTGCCCTATTTTGCCACTAGTGGTTCTTGATATTCCCTGCTATTTTCAGAAGCCCTCCACTTTGCTTTTAATGCTCCAGCAACCCCCAGTTCCTGCCATTAAGTATGACGACTCATATCAATAAGATGGATGGAACAATAGAGGAAGACATCCCGATGCGCTTCCACTCTACTACTTCTTCGCCAGAGGATACTTTCGTCAGTCTTGCGGTTTCAAGATCGTTCTCTTGCTGTCTCTGCCACATTGCTGATGCGATAAACAGATAGATACCGACAAAGGCCTCCGAAACCCCCCTTCGCAATCATGGACAGCCACCACTCGCTCGTTTAGTCGTTGGCTATTGACACCCGTGGGATTTGGAATTACGATATATGGCTTGAACGTGATTGCATGGGGCGGAATGCTATTTCTACTGCTTTGCAATGCCGCCCCTGCAATGTGCCACCCAAGCTGCAACAGTCTGGATTCATCACGTCGGATATGGATTGAGATCGATTCTCAGATTCTCAATGCTCTATTCTGCGTGACCGGCTTTGGTCTAGCCCCGTGGCGTATTATAGACACCTACCACTGGTGTTTCTGGCGACTCGGCTGGTCGGAACGAAGTCGTCAGAGAGGGATCAACAAGCTTGCAACTATTCACGCCAAATGGTTTCTACCACATACATCAATGAGTGTTCTGCCCCTCACAGCAGACCCCGGGGACCGAGGCAGCATGGAAGGGGGTGATTATGTGTCGCCCACCCCACTTTGGAAATTGGACGTAGTCGTTTGGGGGAACATGCTGAATACTGTTTTCCAGATCTGCTTGGCAGCTTTCATGTGGGGAATGAATCGGTTCAACCGACCGAGCTGGAGTACTGGACTCTTTGTATGCTTGGCATGTCTTGTCGCTGCTGCTGCTGGAATAGTGATGTGGCTTGAGAAAAAACGTGTCCGCCGAGCGAATGAACATCCTGGGGCCCTATTATTAGTGCCCCAATCTGTTCAGACCAAGCCAGATACGATTAGGGGCTGAGATTATTAAAACATTTAGCTAATGACTTTACGTTGAAAATGAGCAGAGCGATCACACTTTGGTTCCGGAGAACCCTAGCACCCTATGTCTGACATATCTCCTAGTTTGTTGACTTCAATGAATACAAGATGAAAGATGACTTATTTGGTAAGTTCGGTGTAGCTACATAGCTATATGTTGATACTAAGAGTAAAGGCCACGAAGTGTTATAGCTTAAAATCACTTTGACACTTGCATTAGGTTATATCGCAACCAAATCATTATTTGCCCTGGCTATGAGTTCTATAATAATTAAGTCTATCACTGCTGAAATAATTCGAAAATCTGATTGCCACATGTTGACCTTGTGAAGCGAGCATTCAAGTACTCGTGCCACGTAAAAGAGTCTCAAAAGTTCGCAAGACATAGTTTTGCTCCTCAGGTGTCATATTCTGCCTTTGGGTCAGAGAGTACCCATCTTTTAGGCGTGCATTGATGACAGCCTTTCGAGTCTTGGATCGGACCGTCGATTCGATACTCTTTGCGATGCCTTGGAAAGGATAGGCAACCAAGCCCAATCCGGCTAAAGGAATCTCAGCGTCAGTATTTACCCATTCAAGCATAAGGTTGCATGCTAGGCTCTTACCGGATGGGATTTTGGTAGCAAAGCCAATGGTACCTTTTGCGAACCCTTTGACCGCGCCTAACGCTCCCTCCTCCTTGGCTCCTTGATACGGCTCCGTGACAAGACCCTTGAAGCCATCAGTCATCCCATCGACAAAGTTTCGGCCGCCAAAAACTGCTCCTGATTTCCAGCCGTCAATGGTACCGTAGTCTTTGGGCTCTTCGCCATAGAGTCGGGGAACCTGGCGGAAGCCCTCGGCCGCTGCGTGGGGAATGTCCACTACGACGCCTTTGAAGTACGTGCCAGTGAACTTGCCAAAACCACCAAGAAAGGCGCCAGCCATGGAAATTGCGGTAGACGCAGATTTTCCGCCCCGTTTTCCACTCTGTTGGCCGCTAGTGGAAATTGAGGATGTTGACGACAAAGGCTGTAAGTCCCTCAACGTAGTATTCTGTGGGGAAACATCAGAATGGTTGCGTTTATATTCCTGATAAGGATTGGTCACCATGCCAGTGGTGGATTTGAGCATGTTGGATCCGGTGGTTGCAGTAGCGGACAATATCCCAGTAAGAGGATCCCACCGACGGTTTTCAATAATGAGTGGATTGATGTCATGGCTAGTGAAGGGAACGTTAGTACAGCTATTCTTACTTGTCCTGTGGGGAAAAGAGGAGACAGACCACCGGAGATGCTTTACCTCAATCTTTGAATGATCAATCAACGTTTGAACAGCTGGTTTTGAAAGTTTTATTTGCCTCTTAGACTTAGTATACGTCCAAACAGCTGCCTGCTTGGGCATGATCTGGCAACGCATTCTTTGGGCCGGCAAATGCCTATAAAATGATTCAACCGCAGCATTTAAGCCAGATTCGGTCTGCATTTTCATTGAAATCTTTTGCGCCGCTTCGTTGGCTTCTGCCGTCAGGCAAAAGCGAATAGCATCTGCAAGGTTTCGTGCATTGAGAGAAGCTTGAGGGATGGGACGCGGGCCAGCACCCGCTCTTGCTATCATGTCTCCCCAGAATGGTTGACTAGGAAGGTCAGTTAGGAAGCACAATAGATGGGATATAGTTTGAAATCTCACTCTCCAAAGAATGGTACAACTACAGTCGGTCGCCCATTGAAGAGTCCACAAGCTGTAGTTCCCGCTCCTCCGTGGTGAACCACTGCCGCGACACGCTGAAACAGCCATTCATGTGGGCAGTCGTCGAGGTAGAAGACATCTTTAGAATTAGGGGAACCCCCGCCAAGGTTACTCCAGCCTCGCGACACAATGGCCCTGACACCAGCTCGAGCCACAGCCCTTAGCACGGCGTTGGTCAATGATTGGGGCTCTTCAACCACAATACTTCCAAATCCGATGTAGACTGGAGGTAGGCCGGACTCAAGGAACGTCATCAATTCCTCAGACGGCTTATATATCGGTTGATCTCTGAAAAAGAAACCACAAACATCTATGCACAACGTCAGCTTCTTCCATCTCGTTATCTCCATCGTATCAACATTCGGAGGAAACCTTACCAATGTGCGCGGGCCAATCCATTGGCTTGGGGACTAACGCAGGAGACCAGCAGTACGTAAAGGGAATTTTCAAAGATTCCGCTAGGCTGGGTCCCTGTACCATTGCAATTGGTTCCAAGTCTAGAGTCGCTCGCCATTTATTGATAACATCACCCAATCTGCATGTTTCAATCAGTTCTTCTATTAACCAATACATCGGAAACCTTAAGCATTCTTACCCTTGCCAGGTGAGCCACTCTGCCACACCAAAAGAAACGAGGTTTGCTATACTTGGATCCATCCGCGAGGGCTTCAAATTTGCAAGAGGGTGAGGAAATTCCCTCGTGCTGCTCCATGGCATAGTAAACATGAGGTGTAGGGGAATGCTCAGTGCTTGGGCACAGTGAATGTGTGCAAAACTAGGAGGGTTCGCAATGATGGCGTCTGCCACAAAGGGTTCATTTGATATTGGGTCATTCTCGATACACGACCGCCAGCAGCCGTCGAGCATTGTCCTGACCATAGCCCGCTTCTTCTGGATTTCTCCTGATCGTAAGGTCTCCATCTGAGGCAGCAATCCCGGGTTCTTGACCATGTAAGCCATCAATTCAACTGGATTTCCGCCAATCGGGAAGAATTCCAATCCAGATTGCGTGACAAAATCCGCAAATACATCGTGAGTGGCAATCCGAACACGATGACCATGTTTTTGGAGCTCATTTCCCAAGGCAACAAAGGGTTGCACATCCCCTCGACTGCCTACAATCTGAATGACAATGTTGAGCTGAAGATCAAAGGCGAAAGGTGGAACCTTTTGCTGGTCCTCATAACTCGGAGGGGGATTATGTAAGTCCTCTTGCTGTAGATCGATGACCTGGGCGATACTCTTAGCAATATTCCTAGAAATGACCGAATCGAGATTGACATCGATCCGGCCGTCGGCTATAGCTAGTCAGGTTTTCCCATTCTCCCAGGTTTGTTCGTGTGTCCACTCACCCCGCACATCGGCCGATTGACTGATCAACTCATGGTCCTCTGCGGCCCATCTATACGACGGAGCCGGTTCATCACTGTTGCCGTATGCTTCCATATTGCACTTTTTGGTTGCGAAGATGATAGGAAGGAGGAAGAGCTCGTGCGTGAAGTCCACCAATAAATAAGAAGGGAGTGGCTCCTGATAGCAGGCGGTGAATACCAAGAGAAGAGTTTCTGCTATTAAGTTAGCTTGTGGGAAAGTAGACTGGAATAGTGGTAATAATAGATGGACCGGATACGAACCGCATACTATACGCGTATTTGGGACTCGTAATCGTATCAGATATCTAAAGTGGAAGAGACTAATAGCAAGGTTTGCCTCAGAGTGGGCCACGCCCCACTTGGATTAGACGCTATTTGCAGGGGTCCAAATGGTACAGTACATGTATCGTATTGAGGTGCGCTTAATACGGTACGCTTCCCAGCAAATTCTGGTGTCTTATCTAAGTTAAGTCGGAATGTTACATACTGATATTCCCAAGGTCGTCGTTGCTTCGGCTGATTTCGCAAAATGGAGTTTGACTACGTAGTCAGAGGCGACTAACTGTTAGCTTTTCTTCGACACGACGCGCGGCATGTAGCGTTAAGTCACAGTCTGAAGTAATGTAGTTAAAATCATATAGATAAGGACTAGCTCTGCAGATGCATGCCCAGTTACAGCAGTACCGTTTTACTTGGACTTGCTTCATTTGAAACCTACCTCGGCCGCATGACACCCTGACTAGATCAAGGTTCAGATAACTTAGACAAATTGAAAGATACAATGGATACTAGATACCAAGAAAATATCTGTCAACGAAGCCAATTGTTTGAGTATCAAACTTCGTGGAGGCCACTCTGCGATTTTCCAGCGCACGTTCTGTCACATCAACGCCAATCGACACAATATCGAAGACATGTAGAGAGAGGCAGTAAAAGATAAAGAGGAAAGGGAATCCCCTTTTGTACTATGGTTTTTCCAGCCCAAGTTTATCATACTGATCCACAAACTCTTCGAACAGCTTGTTAAGTCCAAGAAGATTCAACGGATCCTTGTCGTTTTCTTCGCTCATGAACCACAGCATCATATGGATATCAAAAGCAAGGGCCAACAAGTATCCGTACTCGCTTTCCAAAAACACTTGGTCCCCGGTATCCGAGTCACCGGTCAGTAGGTTCCACTGTATGGCATATTCCTGGCAGAAGTGTCTCTTCTCTTCCCCTGTATACTTCCTGCAATTCGCAATCTTGCTCTCCTCGTCAAACCACTTGAACATCTTCTGCATAAAGTGCCCACCAATATCCAAGGCACGGTAGTTTGGCATCACGAACTCAAAGTCAATCAAGGCCACTCTACTTTCTTCTTCCTTCGGATGATTTTTCACCATAACGTTCATGAATTGAACGTCGTGCATGCACCATCCTGTCTTTCCTTCCATAGCTTCCAGCTGGTTCAGAACCTTTCTCAACCTTGTCACAAAGTCGTAATCAACCAGGTTGTCCACACTGATACCTCCTTCTTTCCCAAGTGCCTTTAGCTTGTCCATGTTGTGGTATTTCTTCAGTCCATTCATCATGGCTTCACAAGATGGCTTCATTGTCTTGTTCTCCAACGAAGTATCCAAGGTATTGAGCGTCGCCAATGCCTTAGCAACATCTGCTCGAATGATCGTATTCTCAACATCCTCCGGCTCCATGTTTCGTGCATCCAAGAACTCATCAATTCTCCCGAGCGTACCATCCTGTGTTTGGAAGAATCCATACACTTTTGCTCCTAGCCCGGATTGGCCGTACTTATAGCTGATGATTGCTTCCTCCTGTTTGCTCGGTACCAGATACTTGAAGACTTCAGGGTCTCCGCCAGTGTTATTATGGAATTTAATAAACACCTTCAAGGGTTCGGCAGATACATCAGTAGCCGGCCTTGGTCGCTCGACAGGACAGTGGGCATTGACGAAAGATGCATGGTATGATATGGTCAGGCTATCCGGGTCCACAGATCGCCATTCTGGTAGAAATGAGCCGATGATATCTCTGACGTTTGTTTTGGTCGGCACTTTGTCTTGGGGAAGAACTACAGGAATGGGAGCCAACGTGGCCATTTTGTGAAGAAGTGTGATTCGAATGAGGAGAGAAGGAAAGGACGTGGCCATGAAATATGTGATCTACTAATGTCGGGATCCCAAAGGAGTTTAGTGCAAAGACAATACATCAGGATAAAGAAAGTTGGAATGAATGGGATTCATTAGGAATTATGTTTGACAAGAGCCTTCATAATAAGATTTTAGATTGGCATATTCAAGTGTAGCAAGTGACTGGGGACAAGCTGGCGCATATCCTCCTGTTTCAAAGCTGCGCATTCTCAGCGGAACTTCGGTTCAATGATTTCAATGAAGCAGTGCTTTCTAGTTCGCCGTTTTCCTTGCAAAGGGATGTAACCTGATGCTTTTGCGTATGCGTTGATGGCTGCAGCATTGGCGTAGAGGATCCTAGCTGCTTGTATATTCCTTGGGCATAGGAGAAGGTCTTTGGCCAGTGTTCGGGAACATCAACCCTTTCAACAGGCATGGTACTAGCAGACCCCTTAAACGGCCACACATTCTCATTTGCAAAATCGCAATTCACCAGAAAAGTCACGAATTATAAGCACACTTGCTTATATCCAGATCAGGCACGTTGGGAGCATTGTCCTCATCAATTTTCGTCCACCATCCCTCAGCGGTGATTTTAATGCAGCCTCACGAGGAGAGAACAATCTGCCCCCGGCAGAAGGATTTCCTCATTCTATTCAAGCATGACTTCCTCTGGGTCGATGAAACCAGTGCACGCTGAACCTCCTCGAGTGGCACTGTGGTCGAACGGGATCCGACTACCAGGTCAAACACGATGCGATCTATGGTGCTCACAGTTCCGGTGAAGCACTGGGCTTTGTTGTCGAGTCTGTGCAGTATGATGCGGATTCCGCCCTTGCTGCACCTTAAGGTTCCCCTTGCTCGAAATGGGGTGTTGCGAGGGTTGAGCATGGGGTGGGTGTGTGCTGGGACTGTGGGAGCATGTTGGTTTGGACATCATGCTATGGAGGTGGTACGGTACGAGAAGGTAGGTGACAAGGAAAGAAGGTTGAGGGTGTAGGTTGCAAGTAAGTAAATTTGGCTCTGTGTTGTTAGCTGAATCGGCACAAAGCTTACCCTGTCGGCTTTCAGGAGTAGAGGTCCTTATTTTTCATCCTATAGGACGTGTAAATATATTGGTGTGGTTTTAAGAGAAGAAGAACACCGTAAGCTACATTCTGATAGGGGATCACAGATGAATTTAAGGGATCACCACGATATGGTGTAACGTTCTGGAAGATTACATGATTACATGAAATTCAAGGAATTAACTTATTGCATGTTTGCTATGCACTGTTACTGGCATTTTACAAAGATACTGAAGGCGCTGTTAAATAAAAAGTATTCATAGGCCCTACTGAAGACTACTCCTGGAAGTATTCATACATGCAATGTCCGTTACAAAGCGAGGAACGAGTACAAAAATAAAGTTTGCATCATATTGAACACTGAAGACAAAACCAAAGTAATCATCCATTGCAAAAGGCGACATCAACATAAAAATGGGTATCTAACAAAGAATTGATCACCACCTATCACAACCTCGCATTCATCTCGATCCTCGAATCCAAGAAAGAAATACACAGCAATGGCATTGGTCAGATCAAATTCTCACAGTACGAAAACCTATGGCCCATAGCAACCCTCAGGTATTGTGAACCAACAGCCATCGTTGAGAAATCATAGACATCGTAAATGGGGAATGTGAACCAAGGGAAAAGGAAAATCAAAGTTGTCGGAGGAGACTTCCATCCGCGAATGGATTTTCGGGGGACATATCGAGTAACGGCTTTGTAGCGTTGCGATCGCCGGTTGCCACGCCATGGCCCTTTCTCTGCGGTGTAGGAGCGACTCTGGAAGAATGGGCGAGGAGACTATTCGGTGTGAATTGATTGCTTGTAGAGACTGGGCTTGTGTCTGCGGAATGTGAACCCGCGTATTGTTTTGGAGGGTGTCGCACGCTGCGAGTTGTGTTTCGTCGCTGGGGTGGCGTATCTGCGGATGGTCGACGCCAGGAGGTCGTTGGTGGGATGGCTACTGAGCCTTGTGTCAGGTCTGGGCCTGTTGCTCCTTCGATTAATTGCATTCCTGGTTCGACTTTTACGCCGTGGCCTTTGCCTTTTCTGCTGTGTTGTGGTGGTTCGACGAAGACTGGGGTTAGGTCGACGAGGGGTTTGTTCTTCTGGTCGAACGAGTTGGATTGGCTGCGGGACTGGGTTTGATTCAAGAAGGTTGTATCTGGGGCTCGGGTCATGGTGTTGGTTCGGCTGTTGGGGTTTGAGTCGTGGTGGATTGAGCCTGTGCCCATCAAGCCGGTTCCTGTGAAAGGATCTTGCATAGAGCGCTTTTCACGATCCTCGCGTTCGCGCATGGCGGTCTGGCGTTGGGTGTATGTTCGGCCCAGAAGTCCCGTTGGGGAGAATGTAGCAGCTTCCACTTCTGCGGGCATGACGCCATGCACCAATGGCTCTTTGTCTGCCCTTGAAACGTGAGACTCGGGATCAAGTGGCAGGTCCTGGGGATATGAAGATGGCGGCGGCACATGCCCACGGGTGGTTTTCTTCCGAGAGAACATTTCCTTGGAGCTTGACGGCCTCTGGTAATCAGAGCTTCCATCTCTTGAAGACTCCGGTCTGTTCTCTCGTTGTAGAAGTGGGACTTCAATTGGCGCTTGTTTGTGCTGGCGAGTCGACTTCTTGGTCCCAGAGCGCTTGAGTGCATCGACCTCCGATTTCTCTGCTACTCCAACCTTGTTAGCCAAGTACCAACTCCTCCATTGTTGAGTGGCCCGATACCACTTGTCCGCAATAGTTTTGTCGCTGGTCGAGAAGAAGTGCACAAAGTTCTCTGTAGAGAGAAACATTGAAGACTTCTGTTGGCTTTTGATTGCAAAGCAGATCTTCTTGGGTGGTTTGACATCTTTGCTCAAAGCTCGAGCGCTGGGGAAGTAGATGTCGAAGTCGGACAAATGGCAGATGTTGGTATGATCCTTGGCGTTCTCCTTTTTCGCAATAGTGACCTGTCCGTCGGCACGCATAGTCACATATCGTTTGTCCCACTTGCGACGACGTTGGGAATGGTAAATATAGACGGTTTCAGATGATGGCTGCTCGCTGGGAACATGTGCTGCTTCCAGCTGAGCCAATGCCTCTACACTGGAGGGAGGGATGATGATGAAGCGGTTGTCGGCATCAGTAGTCCAGGAATTCATGACATCTCGGATACGCTCAAAGCGACGAAGGGGACGTTCCAAGCCAAGCTGACAGAACGACTCCATAACAATAAACTTCTCAGGGTTGATATCCTTAGACAGCCGTTTGGTCGCATCCAACAATAGATCTTGAACCGAGGTTGACGGTGTGATGGTGAGGTTGGCAGAGGCATCCCCATACTGCGCAACAACACGACGCTCCCCAGCGTTGACAGCACTCACAGGCGCATCAACTCCAGGGACCACACCAGTTCCACCCACCCCAATGTACTTCGGAACTGGGTCGGATTTGGTGACAGCCGACTTGACTTTGGACAGTTTGACCTTGTCGAAGAAAGATTTGCGATGGGTGTCCGGCGTGATGTCGCGTGTGCGCGAGCGTTCGGCGCGACTTGCCTCTTTCGCAGACCCGTTAGGCCGCCGAGGGAGTTGTGTCGCGTTGTCTCCTCCAGTCAATTGTTCCATTGCGTTCTGTCGATGCGCTTCGCGCGCGCGCGCATCCTCCTCATTGGGGTTCGCGTTTTTCGTGGGCTTAGCCTGCGCATTGCCTCTGTTCTCGTGCTGGTTCGAAGTCGCGGGAGTAGGAGGGAGCGCCTCCGTTGGGCGATTGCGACGATACCGCGATCTGCTCCTCGCGATCGAGGGGTTTTGCTCGCTAGTCGGAGCCATCTCCGCGTCTCCACGTGCTCCAAGATATCTCGAGAAATTTTGCGGTGACCCCGGTGTTCCTTTCCCGTGAATTTTTCCGAGACGCCCCCCAGGGGGCGAGGCGCGGTTTCAGGTTTGGTCTCGGCAGCTGCCCGGAAATTAGCCTCGCCTCAGGATCAAGTTTTGCAGCACAGTTTGGTCGCGAAGGGTCAGGTGAAGAGGGGAAAAGAAAGCGACCTGGCACAATGTGGGAAAAAAGTAACGGTGGCATTTGGCACGGGCCTGGAAAGCCCCCGGTATTCACAGTCTCATTTCCAATTGACCAGTCGCAAATGCGGCCTGCGCCGATCGCTTTTTGGGGCATAGGGCTCTGTTGCATGAGAGACTCACCGAATGTGCAAATCGGATCTGAGATGCGATCGGCGATGTGTAGAAGAGAAGTGGTCGCCGAGAGGATATTTCCGCCGCAAGCGGAAATCGAGGTTACTCAAAGTTAACTACGATCGACAAGAACTAGAGGAACTATTGCATTGTTGCATGCCGCTGATCAGCCATGTGAGATTCCCCATGTCTGAGATATCCCCAGATCTTCAGGAATTGTGGTTCTTCCTAGTGGGGATCGTGGAGCTCAACGTCAAGCCATAGTGGTGGATACGTCTACGGAGGGTTTGAGACAGCGTGATATTCATCGTTCTTTTCTTGATCCTCTATGACTTCCGGTTTAATGCCTGAATCATTCAAGAGGTCGGGCTTACTTGCGGTAAGCACCTAGTTCCCTGCGCCTGTTCTTTGTTAGAATCTCTATACAAAGATTTATCAAATGGTACGACTTACCACCAGGCGACGAAATCCATTGTCCGCACATCAATTCCAATGTCAGTCAACGCCTTGGTCGACATATGGGTGTCATAAGGCCGCTGTACCGCAGCGTTGGGGTCATTGCCCTGCCTGATCATACCGGGGATCGCAACACCAAGCACCTGAGCAATCTTCTGGCAGATCTCATACTTGGTCATGCGGTCTTCAGACGTAAACTGCAGGATGCGCGGCAACTCCTTGCGCTTCTCCTTCTCCTTGAGGTACTTGATGACGATATCCCGGCACACGCGACCAACATCCTCGGTATTGGTTGGATACCGCTGAGACCAATCGTCCATCTTGACGCCAGCATTCTCATCGGTGGCCTTCTTAACAGCATCGACGAGTGTGTTCACTGCGCTCTCGGAGTTCTCCTTGGCGCTGCCGTAGAGCACCGGCACGCGCAGTACCACGCCGAGACCCGAGTCGCCGGTTTCTTCCAGAACTGCGCGCTCGCCATCCAGCTTTAACTGACCGTAGAGGTTTGGAGGATTGGTTGGCGCATCTGCCTCGTAGGGTGCGTCACCCTCCGTGCCGGGGAAGACGTAGTCGGTTGAGATGTAGATCAGGAAAGCACCACGGCCCTGACATTCTTTGGCCAACGCGCGCGTAGCGTCGACATTGACCTTGCGGGCCTGGTCCGGGTTCTTCTCGCAGAGGTCGGGCGACTTGTTGGCGGCGCCTGCGGGGTGTTAGTGGCGGGGTTCGAGTCGGCGGTTTATGAGCTTACAGTGGATGACAATTTGAGGCCTGTGGATCGCAAACTTATTAGTAGCTGTAGAGTAGAGCCTAATTTGGGAATACACACTTCACTTCATCGAATAGTCTCTGAATATCTTCATTCTTCTCGAGGTCGGCCTTCAAGATGGTAGGCGGGGCAGCGCGGGAGAATCCCTGCCCAACGACCAGCACACCAGAGTGCTGGAAGGTGTTGAAGACAGCTCGTCCAAGGAAGCCACTGGCTCCAGTGACAAGAACAGTGGAAGTCATGGTGTGTGATGTTAATGAGTGAGTGCTTAACGTGGGAGTAAATTTCCCAAGGTGGACTGTGACGTAACCGACTAGAGTACACCGGTGACTGTTCCACTCTAATCCGGCTTGGGCTTCAGTACTAGCAAATTGAACTATAAGGAATGGCGGAAGTTCTATATCATCTATCCAGAAAGGAACAAGAGCGATTGGATTAGGAATAAAAGTAAGAGAAGTAAACGCCGTATCCACCGTTCAAAGAGGAAAAAGGGACTGTTTAGCCATAGCAATTCGCGCCTCTATGCGTAAATCATCAAGTGAGAATGAAAAAATATCAAGTGGTGGACGTCCCGGTAAAAGAGCATTTCCGAACAACATTTTCCGTGTGACTTTAATTGGCGGTTGAGGAGAGGAAGGTACCGGGAAAATGGCTTCATCCTGTTCCTTGAGTGGATTACCGTTGTTGTCCAGTCGCCAAAGTTCAATCGTACCAGCAACACCGGCTCGTCTCTTGTACCACTTAATCAATATCACAGCAGTAATATCACCCTGGCCACCGATCAGTAGTCTTCGCATGTCACTTTCAAGAAGGGGTTTTGATTCGCTGTATCCGATTTCGAAGCAGAGCGTGGGAAGATTGAGACCATGGACGTTCACATGTACATCAGGTTCTTTCCGACAATTAGCGTAGACGCCCCGTGTGAGTGTGATCGTATCCGCGACTTGGGCTTTCATCATTCTCTTCTCGGCTGTCGTCAGAAGCCCGGCTTCTATCCACTTGTCTCGTGCGTCTTGGAACCAAATTAGGGCACAGTTATGTAGCGGTGTCGGCATTTTGATCGTAAAGTGCCCAGTATTAGGATCAAAGGACTTTCGGAGTGCCGGTGATTCGAGTTGTTCAAATTTCTGCCATAGTTGTGTACCGACATGTGGCTTTAGCTCTGTAATCACGAGTAGATCAGGGGTATTGATTCGTTCGCGTTGGATGAGGCTTTGGATGGTTGAATAGACACGCACAGCAGTTGGGATGTTCGCTGCAGAGACTTGGATGGGGCGTAAAGATTTGTTTATTTCATCGTGATCAGCTTCAGGGAGATGGGACGTGGGGGAACCAGGTTGTTGAGGCGATGAAGTTGGACACGAAAAGCACGACATGGTGAAGACAGGTGGGAAAGAGGCAACGAAAATCGTGAAACGTCGAGGTTGTAGCTTTGGGAAGGATCGTTGAGAAGTTGTAGGTAGAAGGAAGGAGCGTTGGCAACATTGACGCCATGCTTATGTAAGGTACCCTAAGTCTATGATAAAACCACCATGCCGGAGCCATGCCGTCTCAAACGAGACAAGCAACAATATGAGCACAAGCGGGAAAAGCCAGGTACCCAGTAAAAGACAGAAAGCAACCCAAACACCCGCAATGCTCCGTTCTTGTCTAGAACGCCAGATGCCGTAGAAATGTACAGAGAGAAAAGCACAACGAGTTGAGACCATATGAAGTCAAATCATGCAGTCAAGTTGTTTTTTCAAGTTCGAGTCCGAGACTCGAATCTGAGGGCCGAGCCGAGCGTTTAGTCGTCGCTGGCAGGCATTCTCATGTAGGCATCAATAGCCGCACTGAACGCGGCGAAACCAGCACAACCAAAAGCAGCAGCCTGGGGACCAGCCTTCGCACCGAGAATACCACCAGTGACACAACCAGCAGCAACACTGTTGGTAAGATCGTTCTTGGCGCGGAGACCCTCAATGCAACACTCAGTACCGGAGTAGAGCGCACCGACGATACCGAAGTTCTTCGCAGACGACCAAGAGCGAGAACCCATATCCTTAAAACCGCGACGAACTTGCTCGCGCCAGGGGAGGTCGGCAATAGCGCGGCCCTGGGGTGTGAAGGTCGAATCGTAGGACATCTAAAGAGAAACAGATCAGGAACTGCGCTGTGGATATCGAGTTCATTGGCGGGGGAGTTGACTTACACTGGCCATGAAGAGACCGAAAGCTCCACCAAGACCGAAACCCATGGTGCCTGCGATAACGGTCTTGATCGGGCAAGACTCCATACCGGCTTGCATCTATTGCGCGTCTGTTAGAAGTGCATGGCGATATAGGTTGATTGAATCACGAACCATCTTGACCATTGCCTGCTCCTGGTCATTCATACCCTGCATGCCGGGGGAACCTCCGAGGCCGCCCATCGGCGCCACGCCGCCTGTTGTGCCTGGAAAGGCCATTTCGAAGATCGATGCGAATTAGACGTTGCAGGGTGTGTTGCTATTAATGATCGAGTGGATCTAGGTCAGACTGTTCTTGTAGTCCACTAGACCTGGGCAAAGAAAGAAAGCGCGCGGAATGAATGGATCAAGTAAAGATTCAAGACGCGGAGATCTTGCGGAGGCGACCAACAGAACCGCAAATTTACTTTTACGGCGGACGAGGCGGTCCTGAAGTGCAGAAAGCACGTGATTGCCACTTAGGTCCCGGAAAATCATTTCACCGAATATTCAGAATAGGTGTGGAACGCCAACAACTTTGTGATCTACAGGTGATTTCAAAGGAGAATATCGGATTACTAAATGCAACTCTGGTAAATCAAATGGTATTTTAACAAGTTTCCTAGCAAATAGCATGGCCAGTACTTTAGGGTAGCAAAATCAAGGAAATGCATCGACAAGACAAGAAACAACGCTCTCGTATGGTATAGGTCGTCGTCCTGCGTGATTCGGCAGATAGGCCAAAGAATCAAGAAGTAAGTATGTACATGAAGGTAGAGAAAAGAACACCATTAGTCCTTCTTGCTGTCCTTGCGAGTCAGCGAAGGAGAGGATGCTCGCTCCGGAGACGGGGACAAGGAGCGCTCCCACTCTGCCATCAAATTGGAGGCAGTTCGTTGAAGCTTAGAGGGAGCCAGCTTGGTAATGGTAGGCCAGGGGATGCCTTCGGTGACACTGGGATCAGGAGCAGTGGAAGCTGGGTTCCAATCACCAAAGCTAAGGTTGCGGTCAGCGCATAACGAGGTTGTCATAGATGAAATCATGAAAGGTCGAACGGTACCTAGCGCTTGTTCGAGGGCTACTGCCCTGTGTCACGGGTGACTGATCTTGCTTCGATTCAACAGTCGATCGGCTCGACGAGGGCGTGTGCAACTTCTTTCCGGATGAGGGGGTATCCCAGCTATCCCAATTGTCGAGCTCGTCATTCTGCGCATCGACTGGAGTACTGGAGCGGCGATCGGGCTGTTCGGCGTCGGTCGCCTCGTTTGGGGCGGTTACTTGGCCGGAGGGGGCGCGGAGAGCGTTCGGAGACTTCTGAGCTGGTGTATCAATGCCGAATTCGTCCCAGAAGGATGTGGAAATTTCCGCCGGCTTGGTGTCTTTACCAGTTTTTGTCTCGACCGCTGGTCCCCTCCCCCGCGAAGACGATGACGATGAAGATCTTGATAGCTTGCCATCCGCTAGCAGCCGCTCTCGGCTCCGTGATTTGGCCAGTGAATCGCGCTTGCGACCATTTGGCGGCGCCAATGTATTGGGTGACATGTTTCGTGTCTGTGTTCCGTTGATACCTTCCTCGCCCACCGTAGCTTGTCGAATGTCTTCCAAAAATGTCCAAAGACCTTCCCGTAAATCGGACGCCATTTGCTTGCCGGTACGCATCAAGGCCTCCCTTGAAGGCGGAGGAAGAGTCTTGCGCCACTGGGCGAGCAGATGTTCTGGTACCTGGCTTTCGTCCAGCTGCCCGCCGATACTAGCAGCATTGTTGCGTTCCACCGAGGGCAGTGTCGCAGATCGAGGAGTACGGCCCACGCGATCAGCCTCGGAAAGACCTGGCTCACGTGGGAAGCCGCCTGAAGCTGTTACCGGCGACAGAAGAGACAGGGTCCGGGTGTGTGCTCCTTGGAACACTCGCCGACCGTTCGTGCCAATCTTCGTGCCGTTGGTTGCAACAGCACGAACACTGGTACGTCGCTCAAGGTCCCGACTAATCCGTTCCTGTGATACCGCAGAACCAACCGAGCTCATGCTCTGCTCTCGGTGGTGTGTATTTGACGCCTCAGGGGCTGAGAAATCAGGAGATCGGAGCGGCATCAGTGGTTCCGCATGGTTGATCTCCGCTCGTTTCCTGTTCTTTTCAGACAGTGCCCACTGCTTCTTGATTGCCACCAGATCTGCCTCTGCCCGGTGGAGCTCCTCGCGGAGCTCCATGACCTTCCGTTCCTGCGAGGCGATAGCCCGCAGGAAATCGTAGCCATCATCCGGGACATCGAAAGACATGGGTGTTCCAGGCTGGGCAGTGGGTGGACGGGTGGGTTGCGTAACCGGAGTGGCAGCTCCGGGTGAGGAGACGTCGGCTGTTGATTCGGGTTCGTTCAGGTTGATGGGGAAGTTGAGGGTGAGTCGTTTGGCATGGCGGGCTGTTGGTTTGGCAGAAGGGAGCGATAAACGTTTGTTCTGCTTGAGTGAGCGAGAATCGGAAGCAGACTCCGGTTGAGTCTGGTTCGCATCCGGCGGTGGCCCGTGGGTGAGGCTCTCCGCTCCCGGAATACTCTCCATGGTGGACCAGCCAGCAGGAGAGAACAATCAGGATAACATGAAAGGGAGGAGGAATGTAAGTGCAAGTACGGAGTATGTAAAGGGGAAAATAATAGCTCTGACAGGTGTGGTCTCTCCTGAGTCCAGCCCACAGCGGGTCCGGCGTGTTTCAGGGGTTTAGCGTCTTATTAAGCCATGTGTTTCGAGTCTTGGCATTCAGGAAGCCCTAACTTCAACTTCATCCCATTGCGAGGGACCTTCACGGCGTGCTCTTCCAAGGTCTCCATGGGTTGTACTTGTGTTGTAGCCATCCAGTTGTCCATGGCATTGTCATCACCCTTATTCGGATCTAGGCCAGCGCCTGGAATGTTGCCACGATTGGGAGGAATCATCTGCGGGGCGTAACCTTGAGACAGGTTAGCTTTGACCTTGACGTGCGAAGTGGGACTCGAGAATCGGAACCTTGTGGTAGACTGGCTGTCATGAGTTCTTTCCTTGCTGGTTGTAGCTTCACCAGAACCGGGCAGGGAGGAGACACGCCACTTGACCGAGTCTGGTAGCTAGGCTGGGCTCTTTGCCCAGACCTATAGGCCAGGGAGCCATCTCCGGTGGCATAGTCATCTGGCTCCTGTGAGGCTGTAGAGAATAGGCAACCCATCATGGATGTGTCCCATAGACTGATAGCAGAGGCCGCGTGGGATGGCAAATTGTGTATCACTGGGCAGTCCTGCAGGGGTGGTTTCAATATCTGAGAGCTCATTCATGGAGGGGCCATTGATGAACATCCCATTGTTGAAGGGTGAATACAATGGGAAGTACAAAATCGACAAGAATTTGTGACACTGCAGCCCATTCACGACAAACAAATCATATCAGCAAATGATTTTCCTGGTTGATCTTCCCGATTGGGACGGCTGGTCTCTGGGTATAAATACCCCCATCTTTTCCATCTCTTGCTCTTTCCTTTTCTTCCTTCTCCATATCTCTCTTCTTTCCTCTTTTTTCTTCCCCCATTTCCCCTTTCCTTTCCTTTCCTTTCCTTTCCTTTCCTTTCCTTTCCTTTCCTTCCTCAACCCCCCTTCCCCTCTCCCCCGTCCTCCCCAATGGACCGTCACTGCGGACCTCAAGGCATTCATCCTTCATGGTTCGGGTGCGGTGGTCCCGATCAAACCCCAGCACTGTTCGAGTCGGCCTCAGAGTGAGCTCAGGCATTGCGTCCCCGGCCTCTGTTGGCGTACCCATGGTGTACATTTGCGTCTCCCCGTGGAGCTTCCCAGTTGCCCGTCCTCTTGAGAGGGCCTGGCTGCTATTGCGTGGCTTCGCAACCTGTGTTCATCTGAGGCTTCGGTCTTGGGTGCACTCAGGTGGCTGGAGGCCCCTCTAGCTTCCAGGCCTGTCCTCGGGGATCGGGTTTCTGGGAATTTGGGCCTACGCCGAGGATATGATGGCATTCATGCTTCACGGTTCTAGCGACATGGCCCTGATCAACATTAAATGCTGTGCGAGTCAGCCAAATGAGGGGCCATGGATTCCGCGGATCTCTGGATCCCCTTGTGCAGGCACCCACGACATACATGGGGGGGGCTTTGTAAGATCTTGTTCTAGTTGTAGCTGTTCATTCCAATACGATCCTTGTCCAAGTCATAATATCTAACTCTGTATCACTTTCTTTCTCCTACTGCCAAAGCTTAAACAGACAAGACTGTCTTCAGACTCTTGAAGTTCTGAAGGCATCCTTCGTGGGCGACTTTTTATATTGACCGAAGATGCCGCTCTTGGGAACATGCAGGGTCCACGCCCAACATCTTTGCGTCCACGAGCACGACTTGAGCACATCTCCACCATGAGACTAGCACTCAACCCATTGAAATCCCGCCATACAGTCTTATTCCTGCGACACTTGGTCAATTCATCTTACATTTCTAGGTGGCCGCCAGTCCCTCCCCTCCAGCGCACCGTGGTCAGGTCATGACACTCATCACAATGGAAATCCAACCCGAGGGTATTCCCAGCCATTGACCTCGGACTACTCGATCCATCTTACAGGATTGAAGACGAGCACCTGGGACTTGTTGATATTTGGGCAGCAGCAACACTGGCAAGTTACTCTGCAATACTTACAAAGACACAAAACTGACAGCTGCATCAAGGCATAGTCATTCGTTAGCTCTCAAAACCTCATCAACTGAAGAAACACAGACGGCGCCTTCGATGACCGGCTTCACATTGCAGAGCTGGTCGCCTACTCGGTACCCTACCGGACAAACTCCGCAAGAAGATGCGACTGGTGTCAATGTTCTAGGAAAAGCGGGAAGCTGGACGGGGAAGGTCTCAATCCCGGATCGGAGTCTTGGGAGCTTAGCGGCTGGGGACTTTGTGGGACAGGATTTGAATGGGTTCTTGTGGTGGATGCGCAAGGATCTACAATGGTATCCTGAGGATGGATTTCCCGGAGAGGTATTCTTGTGCTGGGTATCCGCTTGATCTTGATGCTCAACAGGAAGAGGGGGAGAGGGATGGGTATGTGCTTGCTGCTGCGGATGCTGAGATGGGGGTTGGGTGTGATGATGGAATCTCTGACACTCTTGGGTCAAGGTTTTATCAGGAGTTGTCGACTTGTATTAAGCTGTATACGAACTCGGGCAAAGTTGCGTGGTATCGTAAATTGTTAGATGGGTTTCTGGTTCTGATGATTCGACAAAGAACAAGATGTAGATGCGGAAGCCATATATATTCCAAGAAGAAGTAGGACTAGCAATGGACGATCGGAAAGGAAAATCCTAATCATGAGTTTCATATGTATTCTAGTATTCCTCAAAATACCCAAAAATTATCCCACAAGGCACGTAGCCAATAAACAGACAGAAGCACAGGCAGCATTCTATCGCAAAGGAAAGTATAGAAGACAGCAAAACGATTACACCAGATCATTAGAACTCCGGGACCAGTCCCACCAGACATAGAAAGTGACAGTAAAAGGTAAAATCGTACAACGAACGGACACCAAGGATGCAGGGGCAATGACAATGGTTATACAACAGGTTTGGAACGCCACATGGGTCTATACAGGGAATGAAAGAAGGGTAGAGGGTGATGCTGAAAATGGAGGTAGGTGATGGTTGGAGGGGACATTAGGATTAGATGCCACCCCAGCGGTTGCGAAGACCCTCAGACCAGCGCGTGTAGAGGACGTCGGAGAGTTGTTTGGTATGTTCCATTCCGGGAACGGACTGGCCAGGTAGGTTGGATGTGGGAGATTGGGGTTGAGTTTCGGGGACGTAGGATTGGCGACGCTTGTGGCTTTTCAGGTGAGGGTTGTTTTGAGCCAAAACGAGGCGAGGGCGAGAGGGAGAGTCGGGTTGAGTAGGTGGGAGGAGAGTTGATAGACGGGAGTCACTGGTATCTCGTTAATTTGGATATATAGTTTGAGATGAAACAGGCTTACGCTTGGAGTTTCTCGTTCATAATTCTGACGATGTGGTAGAGACCCTCTGGATCGACCATTTCCAGGTCACTCCAGGCCTCGGCCAGTCTGGAGATAGCTTCACGCTTATCACCGTCTCCAGTTGTCGACAATACCTCCTGGCAGGAGAGTCCGACGGCTTTGCTGTATGCCCGTCGTCCAATTTGAGCCTCCTTGCTAGACGAGTCGGTGGACATGACCTTCGGGCTGACATTTTCGTCAAAAGCCTGCTTTGGAGATTTGACATCGGCGGGGACCTTGTCTGATACCCGACGGAACTGTCTAACAGTAGATGGACTGTTACCGTAGCTCAAGTCCAAACCAAGTGGTTGTTTGATACCACTGGAGCGGCGCTTGGTGTTCGCCCGGCGGACAGAAGGTGATCGTTCTGTAGGAATTCGTCGAACGGTCGAGTTGGCCTGGTGCTTGGGAGGAGGTGGAGGCTGCGAGATATGCATGTCCTCCATGAGCTCGGCAGGATCAGTGTTCTCCTCCTCCTCATCTAATGTCGTCCAGTCTGTACCCTTGGGCACCCACATACTGGGGGCCTTGACGGTGTCAAAGACCCAGTCTTCGTCGTCATCCTCCTCAGGCCTGGTCATAGTGTTCAGAGACTCGGCATAATATTTGACGTTCTTGGACACACCACGACCACCATCCCAGTCTTGCTTGCGATGGATGAGCTCTTGGAGTGCCTCGGGCTTGCCAGCATTCCGAATGAATTTGTGTCGGAGAAGCTCCTTTGCACTCGGGCGGCGATCTGGATCTTTCGTAAGACACTGCGCAATGAAGTCTTTGAATGTGTTGCTGTATTCATTGCCCTCGAGGCGAGGGGCGGGGTTCTTCGGAATCAAAAAGAGCACTTTCATAGGGTGTGTGCTGGCATGGGGTGGCTCGCCGTTGATCATTTCAATGGCTGTAATACCCAATGACCAAATATCCGCCTTGAAGTCATATCCAGCCTGCTGGATAACTTCCGGCGCCATCCAGAATGGAGTTCCGACAAATGTATTGCGCTGTGATTTGATGTTGACCAGCTGTGCGGCCACTCCAAAGTCGGCCAGCTTGACCTTTCCAGTCTGAGAAAGCAGGACATTGGCGGCTTTGACATCCCGGTGAATCTTGCCTTCGCTGTGCAAGTAATCTAATCCCTGGAGAAGTTCGCGGCAGACGATTGCGACGTGGGCTTCATTGAAACTTCCTGGTTTTAGCTGTAACGGTCAGCAGGGCATCCCACCGTAGGGCAACAGTTGGGCATACCAGGTCCAAACAAGAACCACCTCCGAGGTATTCCATAACAATCCATAGCTTGTGCCCCTTAAGGAAACTGGCCTTGTATTGTGTAACGTAGGCACTCGCGCAGGTAGCCAGGACAGAAATCTCCTGTTGAATTTCCTGGATATCATCTTCACTGGATTCGAGATCGATCTGGGAGAGGTGAAAGGTCAATTGGGCACCATTGGGTCGGATTGAAAGCGCGTACGTGTTTAATGGCAACAATCTCGCCGTCGGTCTTGTCAATTGCTTTGTAAACAGTTCCAAAACTGCCGCCTGCAAACGGGACATGGTTAGCCAGATGCAAAACCCCTGTCAGGGGGAACACTTACTGCCCAGCTCCTCCATCACCTGGTAGTGACTCGCCATATCGTCCGACATGATTAGCTATTCCAAGAATGCAATGTGCTCCAAGAAAGAATAGCTGTGGAGTAAAGAAGAGAAAGGGATCGGGCAAGGAGGTGGAGCTACAAATCCCAAACAAGCTCTGTTTCGCATGGCAACGAGCGGCCTGAGGCCACAACTGGGGTAGGGGTCCACAATGACAACAAAGATCTACTGTATACTCTTTAGTTACTTATTCACTTATTTATTTACTTATTAGTTGATGGATCGTATTGCATTTCTTTAGTTGTAATGATCTAATTTTTATTGCTTGTTGTGTTACTCGAAAGACTAATATTGCAAGTATTCCATTACAGCCCTAGATGTACTTGTAAGGGTTCATGATCCCGTTCTAAACAAATGTTAGCAGGATTCCATACAGCAGGTAATAAAATTGACTCACCGGATCATAGAGGTTCTTAAGCTGCTTCATCAGCTTCACCATTGTCTCATTTTGGCTGTATCCAATGAATTCGCGCTTGGCAACACCGAGACCATGCTCGGCACTGATACTGCCCTGGCGTTTCTGGATCCACTCATACACCCAAGGCTCAATAGCCTTCTCGACCTCCTTGTTGTATTGTCGCACGGCAACGTTCAGGTGCAGGTTGGAGTCACCCATGTGGCCATAGCCGACCACAGCGCGGACGGGGAAAGAGTCATCATCACCGACGAAGCCCTTCTCCGTAAGACGCGCCTTACAGTCTTCCACAAGCTGGTACAGATCCGCCAGCGGAATCGACACATCGTACTTGTAGGTGCCGCCTAGGTGGCTCAGCGACTCGGTGATACCCTCACGCCAGCGCCAGAGAGCCTGGAATTGGGTCTCATCCTGGGCCAACACACCATCAGCGACAATGCCCTCGCCCATCACATTTTCCAGGAACGATTCCAGCTTCTCCATGTCGTGCTCGGCGTTGGAACCGCTCGTCTCGACCAGACAGTAGAAGGGGTACTCGCCCTCCAGAGGGTGCTTGTTACCCGTAGACTCAATTACCAATTTCTGGCTGCGACCGTCCATCAACTCGAAGGCAGAGAGGATCTCCGAGAGCTGGCCCTTGGCCGCAAGGTAAGCCTGCTGAACCTGCTCAAAGCTCTCGAGACCAAAGTAAGCCACGTTAACAGCCTTGGGGCGGGGAGGACACTGAATAGCAACGGCAGTCACCAGACCAATGGTTCCCTCGGAACCAATGAACAGTTGCTTCAGATCGTAGCCAGTGTTGTTTTTGCGGAGAGTCGACAACGCATCAACAACAGTCCCGTCCGGCAGGACCGCCTCAAGACCAAGGACACTTCCGTGCAGACTGCCGTAGCGCAGCAGACGTAGACCACCAGCGTTGGTGGAGACATTTCCACCAATATGGCACGATCCCTTGGCACCCAGGTCAAGAGGGAAAAGGTGCTCCCGCTCAGCCAGGTACTGGTCGGCGACCTCAAGGATAACACCGGCATCAGCAACAAGCACACCAGACGCGGCATCAAACGAGCGAATCTGGTTCATGCGCGAGGTATTGATGACGATCTCATCGAAGACAGGCACGGAACCACCAACCAACCCAGTGTTTCCACCCTGCGGCACAACAGCCAATTTCCGCTCATTGCAGTACTTGAGCACCTTGCTAACCTCTTGAGCATCCTTGGGCTTGAGGACCAGCCGCGTGTGGCCGCGGTACTTGCGCATCCAGTCACTGTTGAAGGGTTCGATGTCGTCCGTCGCATCGGTGGTTACGCCATCAATCACGGCGGATTGGGAGCCCAAAAGCTCCTTGAAGTGGGCAACATCGTCAGCGGAGAGCTCGGCGAAGTTGGGGTTTCGTTTGACGTTAGGGTAGGCGTCGCTGGTGTACTTGATCTGGCGGGAGTCGGAGCTGCGACTGGGACCGGCGCTGAAGGTGCGGGTGACACGGGGAGTTTGGACGAACTGGGCGGATCGAAGGGCGACACCGGGTCGGGGCACTGCCCGCCGTAAGGCAGCTGTGATGTTCCTGGCGCCAGACATTTTGTGTGAGGAAGTGATAAATTTTAGGTGGAAGGTCAACGGTGGAGATCTGATCTACCGAGCTCCGACTCGGGGAGACTCGGGGAATTTCGGCGATTCAATTTTGCCAATTCAATTCACCTGTAATCTAAGTAACTAATTAATTAATTCACATATGGCAATTGCAAATATAGAGGGGCTCAATTGCTTCCGATCACGGAGCGCTAAATATTTAACATCTTAAAGTTTTTGACATCTGGCCGAGTTCGCAATGCTTACATAGTGAACTATCTACCTGACTGTGGCATATATGCATACATATACACCGGAGTTTTCCCGCGCGAGATGGCTTTCCCTTCGCTTTAGTGCTCACCCCTTGCCGCTTTTTGCTCACTGAGTAAAACTACGCATATCCCTAAGACTCCATTACATTAATTTACCGTCGTAAGTCCTTAATATATAATCATAGTTAGCATCCAAAGGGTGGTGTCTGTATCAATCCCCTAATTATATAATCTAGGTATAGTGTGTTTATTAAAGCTATAAAAGAAAGTTATACTAGATATAAGGCGAATAGCTAAACTAAATAACCGGCCTTAAAAGTTTTATTAGGCTTTAACAAAAACACACACTATTAAGAGCGGCTAAGGTTTTATTGCAAGACCCTTTACTAGAGTGAGACTCGTAGATATATTTAGTATAGGAGCTTGAGTAATTCATCAAGTGGTCATTTTTGAACCGTATTATTTATTGTTCTGGATAGCAAAGCACATGATATATAACTTCACTTTCAAAGATCGGTCTAGCTTTCACGAGTTTGGCAAATAAGAGCTGAGAGTGTACCTTCCTTCGCTAAAGCTGTAATAACAAGACTCAAGAAACTGAAGGGTACCGCTATTTATTATGACGCCGCATGCGTGAGGCTTCATTGACGGCCACGGCCCCCAGGGCGCCAGCACCTACAACATGGGCGAAATGTCCGAAACCATGACTCACTTCTTCGCCTTCTTTCTTGCGATGTTTGTGGATCATCTCTGCTATCCCAACCCCTACAATGGCACCCTCGGCTATGTGGCGGTGACGGTGGTTATCTTGGTGATAGTCATCACGATAGCGGTGACGGTGATGATGGTCATTGCGATGGCGATGGCCATGATATTTGTCCTTATCGTGGCTTCTATGACCAGGAACAAGGTCACGACGGTAGTGATGAGGTTCTTCGCGATTCGATTCGTTGAGTGCTCGTTCCCGTCGTGAGGGGTCAAAGGAGCTTTGAGGGTTGTCAAAGTTCATCCTTGGTGAACGCCTTTGCGAGTAGTAATTCGCCATTGTTGGCAATAAAAGGAAAAATTGTACAAATAATCACGAACGCAGCAGGGTGCTTTAATACTTCACGCGAAATACGAAAGACTGCGGTCGCCACAATGGATTGTTTCGTCTAAATGATATCATCCGATTATGCAAGCTTTTCCGCTCAGTCTATCATATAACGCAGGAACATTCCCGGTCGCGGTTGTGCCTTGTATCTTTCCGGGCGGAAAGAGACTGGCAAGTCGTGCAGCGCGGAGTGGGGCCGGATACTCAAATATGACCTCAGTGTTTAGTCCGGAAAAAAGGCTGCCAGCCAATGAATTGCCAGAAGATTTTGTTAATATTGGTACAATGAAAAGTGATAAAGTGTTTGGCTTATATAGAAATCAAAGGCTGGTTTCAGTCCGCCGATAAGACTCACCTGTCCCATGGCCCAGTAAAATTCAACGCAACAAGTGCAAATCCCTTGTCCATGCAAATATTGCATAAGCCAGAATCTTGAATATGATTGATTGGTTCTCGCTTGTTCATTTCGTTTATATGAGCAACTCGTTTGTTTCTATGCCAGTGGCAAAGCCAAAGCCAGATAAGCATTACCAGCCAGGACTCCACACGAAAAGACGACACCAAGGATGATCAAATGATTATTGCGGCGTTATAAACCCATCGACACCGGCATTCAGCCAAGGCTAGTTTGGCATGCCAACTGGACTATCTGCGTACCGGCTTCTCTCCCTTAGCTGAGAACCGTAGCTCTTGAAAACCAGAGGCATAGGGGCCAAGAGCACTGATAGGCAACCAAGGATGGTCATTGTCCAATGCACACCGATTCCTTCGTACATGGGACGGGACGCCATGACCATACCACCAGCTACAACGTAGCGGACCATCGTGATGCTTGCTAATGCACTGGCTGCATGTTCCCCGTAACTGTCAATAATGTACTCGTAGCTGCTGATATAAATGGACATCAGCACGATGCCGAAAATTCCGCACGCAAAAAGGCCAGACCATATCGAGATGGTCTGATAGTTTGTCCACCCCAGCCAAAATAAAGCTATTGGCAAAAGGGGACTGGTAATAATTGCCGGCCAAAGACGGAATTCTGGGGGTACTGTAGCACCATGTTCGAACTTAGTTTTCCGGCGGGTCCATGCATAGAGGGCGGGTGCAGCAAATGTAGCTATCGTGGAGCCTACAGCGATAGCACCAAAGCATGATCCCGTTTGTCCGGTAGACAAATCGTACAATTGCTGGAAGATGTAATCGAACCCAGATAGAAAGGTGAACATAATGGAATATAGTAGGGTCAGATAAGCACCAAGTACGGAGATCACGGGCTCAGTACTGAAGAATATTATAGGGAGTGGGAGGATGCTTTTCACTCGTTGGAATAGTGAGCCTGTGGAGTGGTCAGACACGTATCGTTTGTCGCCAGTATCACGTCGTAATTGTCTCGCTTTCCAGTCCAGTAAAACCGGCAAATATGTTTCAGAGAGAAAAAGAAGTGCCACGACCCATGCGACAGCTGATATGATGAGAGTCGTATATTCTGTCCATCGCCAGCCTAGGTTTGGATTAGAAGCAATCCACCCCGAGGCAATCGGGCTAATCATTGGGCCTAAGTTATACCGATATCAGTAAATTATCGCTGTGCTAACTCGGCGGACGTACCGGTAATATTAGCCCAGGCCAGAATAGGGAAAACAAAAGCGCGTTTGACCGGACGGAACTGATCACCGACGCTAGATCCGTTTATTGATAGCGTAGCGCTAGAGAAAAGTCCAACGAAATATCGACATATAACCTGGCCGCCGAATGTGGGCGTACGAGCGGATCCAAGAAGGAAGAGGAGATAAATGAAGGTCGACACCAGATAGGTCAGAGTCCTCCCAACCGATTCTGATAACGGCCCTGCAAACAGAGATCCTGAACCAATTCCAAAGAGATACATTGCTGTTGAGAGGTTTTCGGCAACTTTGGACACACCAAACTCGCGGCTTGCCTGCTTGTTGGCTGGGGAGTCGGCAGCGCCTGCCCATGCTTGAGTAAATACTAAGAACAATAATATGGCAATATTTTTGGACCTCGAGATCAGTGTCCAATTTTGCGGATCCAATGGATCGCTTTCACCATTTACCCTTACCCATATGCGTCCATTTTCATCAACAGCTAGCAAAAGCGCTTAGCATGCCTCGTTCCCAAAATTTAGATATCCCTTACCTGGTGACGCGAGCTCGAGATCGCTTCTGCGGCCCGAGGGTGCAGTGACGTGTTCTTCCTTATCTCTAAGGTTCACAAGCCTCTTTATCCGGTGGTTTTGGATTAATGCCCACATTTACAATGAAGCAACATGTATGTTTTCATGTTGAAAGTAATGACGGACACGAACAGGGGGATTTGACTTCTGTCCAGATGTGGTAGGCGGTATGGTGCGATATGCAGGCTAGGAAGTGCAAGTGGCCTAATGGCGAAGGAAAATCCGTCAAGCGATAACATAAAGGGTGAGATTGCAAAAATATTGGAAATGAATTCGTGATTCAGGATTGCAATCACACTTCAGCTTGTTCCAACTTACCCCGCGAGACCCAGCATACGTTCTTTAGCTGCAGAGTTAAATGTTCAATACCGGTTGTGAAAAGCGATATTGTATGGCACTAGTGGCCATCGATAAACCATATGACGTCAGACATGTCCCGTCATTAAGAATGCAGCAGGCTCACTCTGAGCTCCTATGGATCATCATTACCTCATCAACCGGCAGAGGAACTCTCGGGGAAATCTACTTTCATGTTACGTACATCGTGAGCCCTTAATATGGGCCAGATCCTGCGTCTGACAGATAGAATCACCTGGGACTGATGTTAATTTGTCTTCTGCAACTATCTGTCAATAAATCATCACATTTCGAAAATGTGTTCCTCGACGTCTCATGTTGATCTGTTGATCGTTGGAGCAGGGCCAGCAGGCCTCACAGCAGCATGCTGGGCAGCGCAATACAAGATGTCGACTCGGATAATTGATCAAAAAGGAGACCGAACCAAAACGGGCCATGCCGATGGGATACAAAGCCGGACTCTAGAGATACTGGAAAGCTTTGGTATCGTCGATCCAATCTTAAAGCAGGGGATCCACGATGTTGACATGTCCCACTGGGTAAGTACTAGGCGTGGATTCAAAATAGCCATTCGCCACTGACTGGTTAGACAACAAACAACGAAACCGGGAATATAGAGCGACGCAGGAGGTACGAAGCAGACACTGAGCAAAGGTCGAGATTTGGGCAAATACTGCTCAACCAAGGGGCTGTGGAGCAAGTCTTTGTTGACCATTTGCATAACAAGAACGTTCACGTGGAGAGGCATAAAGCGGCTGAGTCTTTACATATCTCGCCTACCGCTGTTGACGACACACAACAATTTCCGGTCGTTGTGGGAGTAAGGGATGTTGGAAATAATGGTACGTAGTCATCGCGTGGTTTTTTTGCCAGTAAGACTAGTGACTCTAAATGGTGGGCTAACCATGTGGTCTAGGAGAGAAAGAAACTATACACGCGCGCTATCTCATTGCATGCGATGGTGCGCACAGCTGGGTCAGGAACCAGCTAGATGTCCAGGCCGATACAGTATCAGAAGAATCAACCTGGGGAGTGCTAGACATAGTGCCCATAACTGACTTCCGTTTGTTTTACCTCCCTGCGCGTGGAACCCTTAATTGACCAGGTATTCCAGCCGATATCCGTCAAGCCTGCTCAATACACTCTCAACCTGATGGAAGCATCATGACTGTGCCTAGGGAGAACAGGCTTGTTCGATTTTACATTCATCTTCGAGGGGAGATGAAAGAAGAAGCCATGCAACATCCCAGCCGTTCTCCTCGAGCGATGGTAGAAATGGCCGAGGGCCTAATGAAGCCGTATAGTTTGACGTATAATTATTGTGACTGGTGGTCTATTTATCCAGTAAGATTGTATGTCCACTTACAAGTACTCTTTGCTGACGATGATATTGAAGATAGGCCGACGCCTAGTCAGGCAATACAGACCCCATGAGCGGTAAGTAGTAGGTCTCATAAGATACAGGCAATTTACTTACTGCCTTCTAGTGTGTTTCTGGCTGGTGATGCTGCACACACCCACTCTCCAAAGGGAGGTCAGGGCATGAATGTATCAATCCAAGACTCATACAACCTCATATGGAAACTGGGAGCAGTTATCGCCAATGGTGCAGACCCCATTATCCTAGGAACTTATGACACCGAACGGCGTCCGGTCGCCAGGCAGCTGATGGATCTGGATGCCCGACTTGTACAAGCATATGAGAAGGAGGAGAAAGATATCTCCAAAGGAATTTATGAAGTCCGCGAGCAATATGCTGGATTTATGGCAGGGGTCGACGTGACATATACTCATAGCATCTTGGTTACCGAGGGAGGAAAAGACGGTGATGCAAACCTTGCAAGCAATATAACATTGGGCATGCGTTTACCATCTTTCCTTGTTGTTTATCTGTGCGATGGACAGCCTTCACATTTGGCACAGAGGCTTATGAGTGACGGATTATGGAGGCTCCTGGTGTTTCCGGGTGATCTACGCCAACCGGAGAGGATGAAAGCTCTGGTCAATTTTGCGGACGTCTTCAGCAAACACTCTTACCTCGCTCATCTACAACGCATACCAGCTCCGGAATGGCGCTGCCATATCATTGAATTGCTTCTCATACAGTCATGCCCCAGGAGCGCAGTCAATCTGCTTGATCTTCCAGAGCTCTTCCACCCGTTTGATGATACTATGGGGTGGGACTACTGGAAGGCGTTTGCTGATGATAGGGACCAAGCTTACAAAGGTTACGGCATTGATAAGAGAGGCTCAGGTTGTCTCGTACTGTGTCGTCCGGATCAACATGTCGCATGGATAGGTAGTATGGAGGACACGTCTGGCTTAGATAGTTACTTCTCAAGCATTTTTGGACCGTTGAGATAGAGAAAAGCGGGGATAAACAGATGGACTTGAGTGCCTTTGGGCAACAGCCATGGCAAGAATTAGGATTCCAATTTAGTTCATATGGCACCTAAAAAAGAACCCAACTGTGTCCGAAGCGCACCTTGCGAAACAATCAGCAAAGCACATATGACACTGTCAACTTCGCAAAAGGATTGTCAGTCTGCGAATAGAGCATGCAAGAGGAATAGGCGAGATGTTGTGAAGATCATTATTTTCAGTCATCGTTGGTGAAGAAAAGACGTCTTGGGGTAGATAGATTTTTTGGAAGGGGTACTATATGGGAGTGGAGAACGGCAACATGCGTGTCTAACTTTGCATACCTCCTGCTCGGTAACTGATTCTTCATACGCGCATATATACCATCGAAGGAACTGCATGGACATGTGAGGCTGAGATAGAGAATTGAATGACTTCGAGGACGGTCTGAGTTATTGTTGCGAGTTGGAAATTGGTTCGTTCAGCTTCGGCATGTTGAAAAATCATGTTCATGGTACGATATGCTTCTTATTCCCTAGTAGACAGTTGAGCTGTGCTAATGTACTTGATTCTTTTCGGTTGTTTTGCGGTTTCTGCGCTCAGTTTGTGTCCGTTGTCTCTTCTGTCATTTGGCGGTATTGTGTGGCTGCCATGTGATTTCATTCAGATTGCTTTGCTCGCTCGGCGCTGACAGTTGCGGCGCCATGGCTGTCATTATGTATAGTTTCAATATGGGTGATTCAAATGCGTATGAATGTATGTGGGGTTATATGCCCACTTTCTAGTTGCTCTAACTTAAAATAAATAGTAGTGCAAGGTACGTGCCGTTTCGAATCGATGATGACAAATCGATCGACTAGGATCGCAAATTAGCTACAGTAATGCAAAGACGTAAATGTGCGCAGAGAAAAGTCACCGTCAAGTGTCGCCTAGCCAACTTAGTGAGGTTGTCATTGTCTAGGAGAGAGGATATGCCGATATATTCACAAAGTAGTTTTCCTGACGGAAATTTACGCTTCGGTATACCGTCACGTCATCACTATATAATTTCCCTGCATTTAATAACAGGAAAACAAGTCAAAGCAGGAATGCGAGTCATGACGTTGACCTAAATTTTGCGCAAATCTTTGAAGATTTAAAACAGCATGTCCTATGCTCAGAATTCTTCACTCGTGTTTAACTCAATCGCCATTTCCAACGTTGATTTTGGCGACAATCGTACTAAGTTGATGATAAGCCTGCGATTTGCTCTAGCCGCGGCCCCATTCACTTTCTTTTCAGTCACAGGATGGACGGTGTGCGTATGTCTTGCCTTAATATAGCTTTGGTCTCCGAGCAAAGGTCGTCCTACCTCCAACTCGGTTATTCAGAAGAACAGTGCGCGGCCCTCACTCACGATGGTGAAATCGATGCTGTCAGGACTACACTGGAGCGTCTGGGTCACCATGTCACGCTGGTACCTGGCATTCAGTTTCTGGTCCAGCAATTAGCGGCAGGAAAGGATAAGGGCTGGGATTTGGTATTTAATATGTCGCAAGGGTTTCATGGGTCTGCGAGGGAGTCGCAGGTGCCGGCGGTTTTGGAAGCGTACCAACTTCCTTACACATTCAGCGATGCTGCGACAATGGCCTTGTGCCAGAACAAAGCAATCACTAAGGTACCAAGCAGAAATCCCAGGTGTTTCAATTCGGTCTATTTAATGCATGAAAGCAGATTATCCTAGATCGTCATATGATCCCTAATGCGCCTTTCACCGTGATCCCCACGCTGGACGGCACAGCGGACTTTCCTGAGCATTTCGCAGCATTGCCATCTTATCCGCTATTCGTTAAGCCGGGCACCGAAGGTTCCTCTAAAGGAATTGAAAATTTCAACAAAGTGAAAAACCTTGAGGAATTAAAACTGGCCGTACGGGAATTAGCTTACCAATTTCCGGGCCAAGATATCCTCGTGGAATCTTTTTTGTCGGGCCGGGAATTTACAGTGAGCATACTGGGAACGGGGCTGCATAGCCGAGTGATAGGTATCAGAGAGCATATCTGGCAAATGGCACCCGATCACAGCAACAAGAATGGTTACCACACCAATGGTACGCTGGATTTTGCTAGCAGAGATAGCAAAGCTAGCAACGGAGGTAAGATCTTGTTGTATAACGATTCGCACGACATGGACGAACCGCAAATCAAAGCTGCCTGTCAGGTTGCTTTACATACTTGGAAAGTCTTCAACTGTCGTGATAGTGGGCGTGTCGACATTCGCTTTGATTCAGACAAGCCAGGCGCCATCCCAAACGTATTAGAAGTGAGTATAACAAAAACCCTCATTATATCCGACGAAACGTACTCATGTCTTCATGGTTGTGTAGGTGAATCCTATTGCTGGCCTTCTTCCAGGTCATTCGCCACTACCAGCAACGGCGAAGATAAACGGCCTGTCCTTCAAGCAACTTTTGTCTGAAATTATTGGAAGTGCCCTTCAAAGGACGCCTTATAAAAATGGTCGTTAAGGCTTGAAGGCAGTCCGAATCCTAAAAGCATACTTGATGGGAAAACACATCAATACGAGATGACAACCCGTTATCTTGGACATGACATCGAGCGGCGGCCTGCCGTAAAGGAGTTGTTGGTTATGGATTCCCTTTTCGCGCAACCACATGAGGAAGATGGAAGTAATACTTTATGCGGAATTATAAAAATCTGTAAACAGATGCTGGATACATGGCAAGGGTTGAGGTGTCCTATTCTCGAAAGTACTTTGGTTGTTGGAAAGAGTTCGGTCTAGGGATTTAAGCTATACAAGCAACATCTAATTGGACATCCATCTATAGTATTTCTTAGTTACTTACCATTTGTGGTTGGATGCCTACAGAATTGGCCTAGAGGCTTACCAGTGTCGGATTCGTGGAGGCTCTTCGTGTATTCAGGTGATCTACACGAATCGGAGATGATGCAGGCCCAGCTCTTTTCTGCATACGTTTTCATCCGGTGCTCTCACCCAGCCCACTCACAACAGACAGAAGCCCCGGAAAGGCACTGTCCTATCAATTAGTTAGTAAGTTCTAAAAGAGTCAGGCCCGAGAAGCGCAATCAATCTGCAAGAAGTTCAAAACACGATAGTCCCACATTGTATATCCTGCCGAAGCCTTTTGAGTATATCTTCGCCTGAGCAAACCGCTCGCTAAAATATAATTTAAATAACTACCTTCACTTGGAGATCCTCGACCAGACACATTATTCCCCGGATCTCGCCCCAGCGGCGTCTTGCGAGTCCATTGATAATGTGCGCTTGCACCTCGAGGGTAAGCTCCACACCTTGATTACAGCCTCTAGCATCAGTAGAGCCCCTATTGCTGATATTGGTCTAAAAGGTCTTGCCGACAGTTTGCCAGAGAACGAACTGTTGATTCGTATAAAATATGCATCTCCTGGTCGAATTTCCAGTCGTACCACCTAGTTAAGGTTAATGAAACTAGATTGATAAGATGACCAGGAAACCAAGGGCTCGATCCAGGCAGACATGCTGGTCAGAGCTGGCATGGGCCCATATAGGTATAAAAGTTTCATGGCGACAAGCGATATCAAAAAAATTACAGGGATATACATATTATGGTATGGATCATGATTCGAGTATCTTCCGCAGTTTAGCGGGTACGATTGTGTTCCGAAACTTCTCAACTTACAGCTTCTTCAGGTCTGTAGACGACGGCCCGAAACTGTATGTTCTGATCACAGGTAACGCATCATTTTCATCCTTCAGAGTGAATATCGAAGTTGTAGCCTCTTCGATAGACAATCGCCGGGGGTATGGGGACTGCGGGTTGAGGACTGATGTCACTACGGTTTATATAGATCGTTAACGTGATCTGACCAAATGCTCTGACAAGGCTGCCATTGAGAAGCAGCTCTAGATGATGTAGTCAAGATATTGCTGTCAAGGCAAGACAACGTCAAGTCTGAGTAAATATTTCAAGGATGTGGACGATCACACTTCTCCTTCCTCCTGAGCTAGACGGTTAAAGGAGAAGAGGTAAATATTCTGCCACAAAGCATGCGTGATAGATGAAACGGCCATCTTAATGTACTTTATTTATAATTTAATATGAGTCTTGTCAAGCCCCCATCCACTTCCAAAGAACTTGCAACAACTTGTCCCGGTGGACAGGTTTTGCGACATAGTCATCCATTCCCTTGGCAATATATGTCTCCATATCTCCCTTTAGCGCATTTGCCGTGAGGGCAATGATAGGCACGTCGATGCCCATGCCTCTGATCTGCGACGTCGCTTCCATTCCATCTAGCACCGGCATGCTGATGTCCATGAGGACCACATTGTATGACAAAGGCGTTTGTTTGACATGTCGAACGGCCTCCGCCCCGTCCCATGCTACATCGATGCGCTCAAAATTCAGACTTTGAAGAAGCTTGAGCATTACCATGTGGTTGACAAGATTGTCCTCGACAAGTAAAATATGCTTGCGCGGCGCGATCTCCCGCACTTTGTTCAAAAGGTCCTTTGTATCGTCGGTTGGAGGCATGGTAGGCCTCTTTTTTGAATATCCTATGTCTGCGCGACCCATTCTGGCCGTGAACCAGAACACGCTGCCTTTGCCTTCTGGACCAGGCCTATAGCCCACTGTGCCGTCCATAAGCTCCGCTAAACTCTTGCATATAGAAAGACCAAGGCCAGTGCCTTGGTACTTCTGGGCCGCCGAGTCGGCAAATCGCGTGAAAGGGGTGAAGAGAGTATTGATAGCACACTCGGGAATCCCAACTCCAGAATCTGCAAACTCCGTCGTGACTATGTATGTCTGTGGATTTGATTCGTCGAGCGAGAAAGTAGTAGAGAGTCGAATATAGCCCGACTCCGTATATTTCACCGCGTTTCCAAGCATATTCTGAACCACTTGACGATACCGTAAAGGGTCGCCATGCACAACTTTAGGTAAGTCCGGTTGGAACCAACAATCGAG